AAGATACCTGGTATCCTTAAGTAAACCTTTAGTGGAGATTAAAGTGATTGATTAATTAATCAACTTTTATAGTTTCTACTTGTGTATTTTGCTCCACCTAGACCAAATACAACAGTAAAATGCAACATACACATAAATAGGCCAAGTATAATTACAATTAAAGATGATGTATAGAATAGTGAAACACTCTCAGGAGCCAATTATCTGCATTGAATTCTTTTACATCTGATACTTCAAGCACATACCTCTCTCCTTTAAACTCTTTATTCTTACATCATGATATAGTTTTACTTAGTTCTGTGAATATTTCCTGACCATGGTTCAAAACATAAAGATATTTTGTTTGTATGAAAATATTTGACATTTTCATCCAATAAAAGACTTAAATTACTAAATATTTTGTGGTTCCTTTGATGTCAGCTAATTTTGATACATTTTGATAAATAAGTAAAGCCTTAACCCCCAATTAGCTGTTATAAGCTCAATGTTACTGACATTTAATAAATGTTTTAAATCACATTACATGTATCCATTCAAGTTAACCTTTCACATCAGTAACAGAATTTCATTGCTAATTGATAGTGCCGCTTTAATTTTTTAGACCGAGGTCGACTTCTGGCATGAAGTTTATTTGTCTATTTATTTAATATATTTATATCCAATGAACAAAGTAAAAAAAAATATTTTCTATATATTTTAAATGTTTTTTTTATTTCATATATCTGTCTTTAAGAGTGTGTGATTTATCTGGAGTTACGATCAAGCGACAGTTGAGCCAACCTCTGTCAAAGAAATTAAATAAACCAAATGTGCACAGACCTTTGTAAAATTAGATGCTGAAGACAAAATATTATCTTTGTATGAGTTGTTGCAGCAGTTCTTCAAACTTTCTGTCTGCGACTTTTCCCTTAAAATTATCCTCTTAATCACATCGCATTTAATGTGAATAGTCAGGAGCACCAAAATTCGCTTCAGAAATATTTTCTATTTTGTGCTGATAACTTACTGAAACATGCATAAATATCTGATTAAATTATGGGGTAGATTTAAGTAAAGTATTCAAACTACATGGAATAGTTAGCATACATTTGAACATAACAGTTCCTTATGAAACCTCAGTTCATGGCGTGTTCCATTATACCTCAGCCCTCAGAATGACATCCCACCTGAAGAACCCCAGTCGATAGCTTTCCAGTTGAACAGGAACAATGTTTTACCATTAGCCAGCTAGCCATTGTTAGCCAAACCAGTTTATTATAACGCATTTCATGGCATTTCACACATACTGACATCGTATACACGTCCACCTACAGTAATTGGGCCGAAGTGTTTGACAAATGTAAAGACAGAAGAGCTAATAAACAGCTTTTACTACTTTTTACACGGAGCAGCCATCTTGGATTTGGAGGTTGGGGTTGGTGAGGTTCTTGGGGGTCCGTCAAACTGAGCTCTGAGGTGGAATGACATGCGGAGTAAATTCAAGATTAACAGATGGAGGCATTTTATGTTTGTTTTGTTGTTATTTTACGTTCGACGAATCGGTCACCATTTACTTTAATTGTGTTGGATTTGAATGCAACACTGTTTACCCCTGAAACTACAGGGGACTCAAACACTTCCCACTCCCTCATCTGCATAGTGGTAACACATGCACTTCCATTTGTGAGCCTTTAAGACGGTGCAAAAACATTCCCCTGATCTGACTGAGCACCAACATTTAAAGGCTTCTTCACTGACTCATACCACATCCTTCCACCAACTTCTGTGGTAGTCAGTGGTGTAGTTTCTAGGTGATCCTGCTCACTAACTGAGGTAATGAGAGCTGTTGAGGAAAGATGCGTGTAACTTTCGCTTTGCGCTCAGTGAACTTTTGTAGGACGGTCCCTTGGCCTGCAGGGGGACTGTGGAGGCAGAGCTCAGTGTGGGCCAGTGACCGCGCACACGCACACAAACGCGTCCCCGCTTCACATGCACCGTGACAGCGGCTCGTCCGTGGCGTGAGGTGCAGATTCAACCCGCTCACCTCGCCTCCTCTCCGGGGATCGGTCCGCAGCCTCTATGTCCCGGTGATGTTCCAGACAGCCTCCATGTTCGCTGCGGTGGAACCATGAGGAGGTGACCGGCCGCCAGAGCTGACAGGCGGGCGTCTGCGCCAACAGGTAGGGATAAGCTCATCTCCACGATACCGTCTGTATTCTAACACAACTATATCTCATATCTGTGTGTGTTGCTGTGTTGCACTGCTGCCTCATGTTTTCATTTCCCTCTGCTGAGTCCTCACATTTTCATTTTTATAAAATATATGAAAAGACCCACGTTGCTGCTGTTAAATCCACTGAAACACATTTTTACATTGAGGAATAAATCCCTCTACATGTGACATTAAGCCACAGACTGTGCAGCTTTCATATAGCACAAGTGTTGTCTTACAAAAAAATCAATAGTCTAGAATTACTTTGAGAGAAACTACTCACAATTACACAATTAAAAATGTACTGTTTTCTATCTGTTCAGTGAAATGAACAACACTACATCAACTGACAAATGATTATTTTTTCACATGTGTTTATATTCCAGTACAATGAAGTTTATTGTAGTGCGTGTTCACCTCATTTGACCCCTGAGGAAAGGTTGTTTCTGACAGAGCACTCAGTGTGTTAAGATGGTGCATGACTTCAGTCTGTTCACCAACATTATAAACTGATAGTAGCAAAAACATAATTATATATTATATGTTATATATTTTTACATTTTGTATATATATCAAAACTGCTGCCTCATTGCACAGGTCAATACCTTATTTATTATTGGCAGAGCACAGATGGAGAAAGGCTCACTGTTTATCACACACACTTTGCTTGCCCTCTTTAATTTCAGTCTGCAACATCATTCGTTTTTTTTTAGGAACAAACAGGAGTGTTACACTTCCAGCTGACACACACACTTCACACTTACTTGTACAGTAGCGCGTGTTAATAGAGGACATATTAACCCCAGCCTGTGTTTCCTCTGTTAGGACAGCCGTGAGCAGCAGCAGCAGCAGCAGCAGTAGCAGAGGAGCTGACGGTAAATGAGAGGCCGTCACCATGCCCCCGGGGAAGTATGGGATGCAGGAGGAATGGGAGAAGGAGGGCGTTGGGGAGATCATGATGGACTTCCTGCTGCCCACTGGGATCTTCCTCAAATTCCCTGTCTCTCGGAATGACACCATCAAAAGCATCAAAAAAGTACGTCAGCTCACTTCCAAGCAACGTGTATTTAAAAACCAGAATTTGATTGCCCTCTCAGACACAATCTATAATCATAAAATGCATGTTTATCTATTATACTATAGCACTTTGTTTCATATACACTATTTAATGTACTGACTGCACAACACTGAGGCTGTTTTTATTTACAAAATCAACTCAAAACCCTTTTAAACTAATTGGTTGACTTAACATCTCCTTCGGGCATTAATTTAATTGAAAGGCGGCACAGTCTGAACAATGCATGCTTTGGCTTCTGATCCATCTCTGAGCATTTTTTGATGCAACTGTTGAGAGAAGCAGCTCCAGCTCCTTCCTCTCCTCCTCAGCGCAGACAGTCAGCTCTCTGTTCATTGTGAATGTGCCAGTTTCTATGCCAACAGTTCTGCCACTTCAGGCTGTTTGATTTAGCTGTGTTAAGTAATGATACTCTCGGGAGCCGTTAAGATGATTAAGAAATTAACTGTCTCTCTAGTCAAAGTGATTCACAAGGATTACTTTAGAGACAGTTCAAAAACGTCCAGGGTCGTTTTTACTTTATTTTTTGCACTATGGGTTATCGTTTTAGTCCAGACAGAGAAATCAGAGATGTGGCAAAAGAAAATGTTGTCACTGGTTGAGATCACACTTCAAAGATCACGAGAGATCGCCCTCATTTCTTTCTGTGTTTCTTGTCTCAGATGGTTTGGAAAAATGCCAGGAGCGAGGCCCTCTTCAGCGCCCTGGGCGAACCCGACGCTTACGTCTTCACCTGCATCAACCAGACAGCGGAACGGGAGGAGCTGGAGGAGGAATCGAGGCGCATCAGCGACGTGCGGCCCTTCATGTGCGTGCTGAGGCTGGTGGCGAGGGAGGGCGACCGGGTGGAGAAGCTCACCAACACGCAAATCAGCCTGCTGATTGGCAAAGGTGAGCGACACCCCACCAACCCTCTCTCTGACAGAGCTCACCTGCTATTATTATACTACTCTATGGTTTTGGTGTTTGCTGGTGTGCATTTAGTAAATTTAGTAAATATAAAGTAAGAAGTGGTCGTCTGCCATCATCAAAAAAGAGAGTTTTGTCTCAGCTGTTCCAGCCTGATTACCTTCCTCTGGATCTCAGTCATTATAACGAAGTCTTTGATAATTGATCGTATTTTCTTGCCACTTTTCTTTTTCTTGACGAGTAGAGTGATATTCTCTGGTCTGAATCATCCTTATAAAACTCTGGTGGTTTGTTGCTTTTCCAGACCAGAGGAAGATTCTCAGCAGCAAGCAGCTGCACTATTTGAAATCTTGAATCAAAAGTTGTGACAGTAATTTACACTTTCCCACAACAAGTTAAGTATGTCACATCATACCACAATCTTTATCCTCCATTATGATTCCAAACATGACATTATTTGTGATATAGCGAGAAAAAAAAGAGTTAAGCTTCCAGCCAATCGGACATATCACTCCAAAACATATCCCCGTGAAAACAGAGACAAGTGATCTGTTGTCTCGATTTCCTCATCACAGAAAATATTTTGATCAAACCTGGATGTTTGTCTGAGGAATTCTCCTGATGGGAGTAAATCTGAAACTTTTGCTTTTGGAGGGAAATGTAATGACAAGAAATGAATATGTGAATTCTTAAGAGTGGACTGACAGAAGAAATTAGAAGCAGAATTTCAGTTAAATGGGTATAAAGAAAATGTAAGGAAAGCTTTAGGCTTTGAGTAGAAGTTAATGAAAACAAACTCTAAGTTTAAGAAAGGAGGTCCTCTCACATTTTATTTTTGATTGAATGATTTTTCAGGTCTGCATGAGTTTGAGGCCCAGAAGAACCACGAGGTGAATGAGTTTCGAACTAAGATGCGCACGTTTTGCGAAAACAAGGCCGAGGAGCGGCAGATGTTGCCGTGGCAGAAGTGGATGGAGTACAACTTCCCGTGCGACCGGGAGCCATGCTGCTTGCCACCACACAGCAAGAACTCCAAGTCCAAAATCACCAAGAAGATTTTCATTAATGTCAAGTTTGAGGCGAGCGATGTGAGTTAACCTGCTGTCTGTAGTTTGAGTTTGAGTCATATTCATGAATCAAGTGTTCTGGTTTGACGGGGGCAACAGCAGAGAACCGCACAAACAGCTTTTGGTTAAAAAGACTGGTTCTGTCTCCCACTGACAAATTCTGGAAGATGATGCAAAGTAAATGTGAACACCTTTGGAATTCCCCCTCCCACACCACGAACACTGACATGAAAGATGAAGTTTGTGCCATGTTCTGTGAATTTGGCACCTTTTGTTTGAATCATGTCCCGTGTTGATGTTACAGGAAAGCTTCATGCTGCAGCAGGACCCTCAGGACCACCCGCTGGCTCTGATGAGGAGCGCCCTGAAGAAGAAGGCCACCGTGTTTCGCTCAGTGCGACAGGAGGCTGAGGACTACACCCTGCAGGTCAACGGGAGGTTGGAGTTCATCTACGGGAAACATCCATTGTGCCAGTTCAAAGTGAGTGACCGCAAAAAAACAGCCACTTCAAACCAAACTTTATTATTACCTCCACCACCAAGGAGGTGTGTTTGTCTGTCAGCAGCAAACACTACAGGAGAATAAAGCTTTGTGGAAGGATGCAGTATGGGACACAGAAGAGCTCATTAAATATTGGGGTGGATCTGGATCGCGGGGCCAAATCTAAGAAATGTTCATCGTGAGCATTTTTCAAAATTTCCCAGGGAATAATTCATGAAGAAGAAAATCAGGCCTGTTTAGAAGACTGATATCAATGAGTGAGTGTTTGAATTGATTGAGTTTAAGGGAACTGTTTGACCTTGACGGAGGAATGCACTTTTCTGGCTAATTTAGTTTTAATAGTAAGAGTAATAAATGTTTTTATCTTAAAGGTGCAGATTTTTAATGGGTATACGATGCTTTAAATACTTATTATTAGTAGTCTAACCATCTCATGTTGAGGATAATCATTTATTTCATTTCAGAATATAGGACAAGATGGTAATGGTATTTACTTGTAAGCACCAGAACTGTTATTTTCTCAGTGCATGTGGATGAGTTTCTGTTCATTCCCTGTGTGGGTCATTGAGGGTGGGGGTAATTTTCAGATCAGGAGGAGGGTAAGTCAGGGTTTTTGGTGGCAGGAGACTCCACTGATGATTTTAAAACTGCAGCTACCTGCAGGGGTGACTCATATCTGTCTCACAGCGCTTCAGAAAGGAACTCCATCCATCCACACATAATGAGATTTTGGCTGCATTAACCTTCAGCAAATGAACGGCCTGCAGGAGTTAACCATCAGAACACTGGGAAATATCTTTGGGTCAACTGACTAATGGCTGTACCAGTAAACAAAAAGAAATCTCCCCCTATTGTTGTCTATCTTTTTCCTCACCAGTACATTTTCTCGTGTTTGAGAAATGGCCAGAACCCTCATCTGACCATGGTGCACCACTCCACCATCAGCAATTTTAAGGAGGAACAGGGCAGAATGTGCAACCAGGTATTCAAGAGTCGCTGCCAGTCCAGACCTCCTCCTCTGCCGCTGAAGAAGGTAAGAGGTCAGCCGACGACTGTCATCTGTCATAGGGAGTCAGTAGCGCATAGGGAGGCAGTAGCGCAGTCCATAGCGACTTGGGTTGGGAACCGGAGGGTGGCCGATTCAAGTCCAGCATGGACGGAAGTTGGAGAGGTGCTAGTCCACCTCCTGGGCACTGCCGAGGTGCCCTTGAGCAAGGCACCGAACCCCCCAATTGCTCACCGGGTTGCGTTCCGTGGATTTCCCCATGTTTGCATGTTGCATGCTGTGTGTGGGACCAAAAATAGAATCTAAATCTTAACAGAGCAGCAATCTCTCTGTCCATCTTTCTCTCTCTTCTACTCTCTCCTCAGCACAGTTGTTCCTCCATGGACTTTGGCACACTGCAGACATGCAGATAATTTATGCTCCGCTTTATATGGATATAAAAATATATATGTAGCAGGGAACAACATCATGAATACTTATTTATTTTTCAGGCGCTTTCTCAGTGCTCTGTCGGTTTATTTCGGTTTCAAAACGTGTTCCTTTTTCTTTCTTTTGAAAGTGTTCATTGTCTTGTTTCTTTCTTTTCACATGTTGCCAAACAGGAAGTTGTAGCAACAGTTTCACGCCTTTAAACTTCAGTGAACCCTGTAAATGAAATTGAAATGTAAAGGATGGGAGGTAGAAATAAATATTGTTCCTCTCCTCTGCTTTCTTTCTGCAGCAGAATACCTCTTCACTGTGGTCCATCAACGAGCTGTTCAACATTCACCTGCTGCAGGGCAGCCGGGTCAACGCAGACGAGAGGATGAAGGTGCGCTGTGTCTCACTTTGCTGCTCAATGAAATGTGCCATTCACTTGTTTACCAATATCTTAATTTCAGTTGTAGGAGCAGCGGGGGTTGACATATAATTGATAGGGGCGTCACATGGTCCAGACCACACGTTTCCCATAATTCATCAAGGCGGTTGGTTAAAACTTCAAAACAGGAAGTGGGGAGGGCCTATCTGGTTTTTACGTCTCATTCTGAGGCCCTAGATTCTAAGAAAAAAGAGATACTTCATGCCGTCTTTCCCTCTCTCGCTTTCAGTGCACTTCTTTATGTTATGAAGGCAATGCATGCATTTTGTTTCTGTTGCAGACAAGCCTTGACCTATGTTACATTTACAGTTACAGTTAGCAGACACTTTTGTCCAAAGCAACTTACAATAAGTACATTAATCACAAGAGAGAAACCACAACATATCACCGTCAATGGAGTAAAATGAAATATAGAAACAACTGTCAAGCCCTCATCTTAGGATCGTAACTGCTATTTGTCAAATGGGACATTCTAAAAATTGAAACATCATATCCACAATCTATATTTTGCTCTGTACCTTTTATGTTTTCTACAAATGTTACCAATAAGAAAATGAGTGGGAAGACGTGTGCAGGGAACCCTGTTAATGTGTGTCTGTGTGTGTAAGTCAGTTTCATAACTAACTATGTTACTGTTTATTTGGGTTATTTAGTGTAAGTGCACTTCTGCCTGCTGCCTCAGACCACATCATGACTCATGGCAAATTTGTCTTGTCACATAGTTATCAGTGAGGCGCTGGTCTGAAAACCCACCCTGGGGGAAAATAGCCACTCATAGATTTTGTAAACGTAGATCCAGACTCTCTTGATGTGGCAAAAGGCAGGAGCTTAATGGTACAGCAATATTGAATTTTACCTCCAATTATCCTTTTTTTGTTTTTGACAAACTCTGCATGGCATTGAAAGGAATTGCAACCTGCTTAGGTTATGAATGTGTCGACCTTTTGACTCATAGTGACACAGGAAACTGTGAATCATCTCGTGAAGTCTGCACATCTTCCACAATCTTCCTCACATATGTGCTTCAGCTTCCAAAACCACATGTCAGGCCTTCATCTAACACTACTGTGTGTATGTGTGTTTCCCCTCTCAGCTTGTGGTACAGGCCGGTCTGTTCCATGGCAGCGAACTGCTCTGCAAGGTCGTGACCAGCTCGGAGGTGACGGTGTGCTCCGAGCCGCTGTGGGATCAGAAGCTGGAGTTTGACATAAACGTGGCCGACCTGCCTCGCATGAGCCGGCTGTGCTTCGCGCTCTACGCCGTCATCGAGAAAAATAAGAAACCCAGAGGCACAAAAAAGAAGAACAAGAAAGCGGTGGGTCCAGCTGATAACTTGTGGCAGTATCGAGCCTCGGTGCACAGCTAATGATGGAGCGGGCAAGTGTAGGGCCTGGTATGAGTGTGAAGTTGTTAACAAGCACAAACAGATCCGTTTCCTCTCTTGTGTGGAGTCAGTGTGTAGTCAGTGTGTGCTGTGTGGGTGTGTTCAGCTGCTGCGTCTGGTTGTGCAAGTGTGTTTAGTGGCAAGGCTGTGGTTAACGTTTCATCCGCTTCAGCCCTTTTATCTGCACATCACTCCAAGGAAAGAAAGAAAAGGAAAAACATTTTCAAGGAATTCTATATTCATCTTCAGCCACTAACAGCCCTCAGGCCCACAGAGACTTTTACATTTCAATTTTCTCAGTTTTAAGGCCTCAACTTGCGGCACTTTACAGTCGAGCCCTAAAACAAAGCAATTTTCTGCTGCTGTTAGAGATAAAACTCTCTCAGCTGGAGCACAACCCACTATTTTATAGCAACAGATTACTCATAAACACAATATGTAGCAAGGATCACTCAAAGTTAATCAGTAATAATAATCATCAGCATCATAACTGTATTTATTTAGCACTTTAAAAGATTTGACAGAGAAGGCAGGATAGTAAAATGGTAAATGTAAAAATATATTCACATTAATAAAAACAATTAACAGATTAAAGCAATAATAAGACAGCATCACATAAATACAAATAAAAACAAAGATAGAAAAAGTCCTTGAAAGTTATCATTGTTTACTAATGTACCGTATATAATAATGACGTATGTGCCAGAAGTTACTTTTACAAGCAAATAACATCTGTCCCCCTCTGTGAAGCACACCTGCAAAACCTTTATAAATTTTATTAACCACTTCTTTGACGCTAAGTCAGAAACATGACAGGAAAACAGCTAACGTCATCTCCTGCCACAATGACGTCTACAACACAAACACTGACAAACAACACAAGCATGATGTGTTATGTTTGTGTGATATGATGTTTGGATGTCACGGTGCCTGGCGATAAAGTCAAAACTCCCCTCCTGCACTGTAAAAGAGGCAATTCTTTAAAAAAACATTTTCTGACTATTTTATATCTGACAGATACATTAAGAGCTTAGACTTAAAGCTTTCAGAACAAATACTTCATTTAGCACTAAACTGATGACTTGATTAATATTGATCATGAATTAATTGTCACTTTACAACAATTGATGGTTCCAGATTCCAGATGTGAGGGTGTGTTTCTCTTTTCAGTTTCATATATAAATAGAACATCTTTTGAATTTGGTCTGAAAATTTCATTTTGGACTCTGGTGGACATTTTTACCCCCACCAAGGAGGTTGCCTTCACCCCTGTCCATTTGTTGGTACGTGTTTTAAGCAAGATTACACAAAAACAACTCAACGGATATCCACACAACTTGGTGGAGGGATGCAGCATGGATCAGGGAAGTGCCCTTTGAATTTTGGTGTGGATCTGAAATAGGGAGTGTTTTGATCATACGTGAGATACGTGAGATACGTGAAATCATTTCCATTGATTTCGCTGTGAATAATTCATTGATCTTTATTTTTAAAAATCCGCCACATTATCTGAGTGTGTGATATTTAGTGCAGCTTGATTGAATTCAAGGGCTCTGTGGGCCTTGGCTGAGGTATTTGCTCTACTCAGTGCCATTCTGAATTTCAATAGTTTTGACATTTCATAGTTAAAAATATTGAGAAAATAATTGGTTGATTAATCAATAATAGAGTTGCAGATAAAACATTAATAAGAAGCAATAGTGTCTCACTGAGTTGTTCAAAGCAATGAAACTACATCTGTTGCATTGAAATACGCAAACATGCACACACACACACACACACACACACACACACACACACACACACACACATTCACTGTACAGTAGTACAGTGTAAACTGGCTAATTCCCCTTTTCTGCGTCTGTGGTCTCAGCAACTTTTGTTTTGATGCATGCAGTCTGTGGTCAACAAGTTCTGTCAGACCTCACAAGCATAGTGCGCAGGTGTGAGGGATTTTTTTAAATGTATCTAGCTGCTTCTGCTTTCCGAGACACTTCTCTCTTCTTTTTCCCCGAAGAGAAGTCCAGCCACCAGAAACTTAGTTGAGCTATTTTTGACTGTCTTGTTTTTGTGTATTGCCTCTTTCGTCGCTGGGCTTGTTTCATTGTTAAAACAATGAATGGCCCAGTTATTTCTTTTTTGATCATTGCCTGGAACTCATTTACATTTTTTGACGTTTTTTATTTTGTCCATAACACTTGAGACTGTATAAATTATAGACTCACTTGTGTATTTTTTTTTTTGTAAGTGCAGAGTTCTTTGCTTTACAGTTTAAAATTTAACATTATAAATCGTTTAAACCAACATGCCCATTTTATTAAAACATAAAAGACCTGCAGTTTGATTTTAATTTACAATAATTTCCAGAATAAAGGGTCTGTTGCGCAAAACAGACTTAAAGGTGTGTAAGATTTAGGTGAAAGGGAACTACTGGCAGAAATTGAATGTAGAATAATCCTCATGATGTTTTCACTAGTTCGTTTCATTTAAAGTGTATGAATTGTAGTTTTCTTTACCCCAAAAAAGCCCCTTTAGGACCCTCTCTACGGAGACCGCCATGTTTTTTACATTAGTCCAGACTGACCAAACTAAACACCTTTTGAGTTTTTATGATAATTAAAGGCTACCACAGTTTCTTTTTCATGTTTGGAAGGAGAGGGTGAGATGAGGGGTGTTCAGCTGCAACATGCAATTTCAACACTAGATATCACAAAAAATCTACACACTGTACCTTTAATAACTCAGAGTGTTTCGGTTTGACTGATGAAGACACCTTATCTTTAAATAATCTGAGTTGGTTTTATTTATACTCTTAGACAAGAGAGAGCAGGATGATGTTTGTATAGATACATATTCAGATTTTATATCCCAACTACCATTTGTAGTTTGCTTGAGTTGAATAGATTAGTAGACATTAGTTGATTGAGTTGAAATCCAGCACAACTTAATTTAGCTTTGACTGAAAACGATGCAAGGTACTCCGGTTCTCTCTGTCCCTCTTTTTTTGGGCCTTTTTCCACTATTTTGAAGACACAGTGAGGGACAGACAGAGGCAAGGAAATAGGATGAGATAGCAGCAGAGAGATACACATTAAATTATCTGTTCATCCAGGAGCTGAGCCAGGAACCTGCTGTTCAATGAGTATACTCCCATGTTCAAATTCAGATGTTCAATAATCCCAAATCAATAAAATCAATAAATCCAATCCTCATTGTCCTCTCTCTCTCTCTCTCTCTCTCTCTCTTAGGATTGTCCCATAGCCTGGGTGAACACCATGGTGTTTGACTACAAGGACCAGCTGAAGACCGGGGAGTTCCTGCTGTCCACATGGCCGTCTGTTCCTGGTACATGGCCTCACAGCCTCTTCTTACAAATCCTCCTCTTCAAAAACACTTCACTCGTTCACAGCCTCCTCCACAGTGAGGGCTGGAATACCCAAAGTGACGAACACATATTCAGACAGTATCTCTAGTCTGGAGTATTCTATTGATTATTCGAGTAACCATTTAAAGAGATGGTTTTGCTTTATTAAATCTCTTCAGCCTGACGGTATCTGCACCTCACATATCATAAGAGCATGCTAAATATGAAGCAATGTAGTCCTGCTGCACACACACATAATTGTAAGAATTTTCTTTGCAGCCCTGTTTAACAGCATTCATTATTTAATCTTTGTATGTCTCAGGGAAGGATTTCATTATGAAAATGAATTGCAGCAAAATAATATTCATGTATGACATTTTTATCACAGATGACAAAAGTGACCTGTTGAATCCGATGGGTACGGTTGAGAAGAACCCCAACGTGGACAGTGCTGCAGGGCTTCTCATTCGTTTCCCCAATATCCGGCCACATCCTCTTTATTACCCTCCGCTTGACAAGGTGCTTATTCCTATATCCAAAAACAGCTTTTTTGACTACATACTAAAATTTGGATCTGTAATTCTGTAAATTGAAAAAAATAATCATCATTTTCAGATTAATGACATCGAGAGGAATGGGGATGCAGCTATTGTCACTAAAGAAGAGGTACAACTTTCTACATCTCACATTTTATAGTCAAAGAAACAGTCTGTTTGTTGCTGACCGCATATTTTTTATTCAATTCTTTTTTGGGTCATCCTCTGTAGTACATGAAATTAAAAGAAATCATGGACAACAAAAACTACACCGAGTTTTTCGAGGACGAAAAGGAACTCTTGTGGAAGCTGCGGGCTGAAGTTCGCAACCATTATCCTGAAAGTTTGTCAAAGCTGCTTCTCATCACCAAGTGGAGCAAGCGAGAGGACGTAGTTCAGGTATAATGGAGGAGAATATCCCCACTGTGGTTTGGTTAGGTGTTAAACACTCATCTTACTTTTGTGGTTTAATAATGTCACTTGTTTGTTTAGTAATTTCACACATTTCTTGTGTCATACCCAGTTTCTTGAAGGTAATTATTAGCTTTTCAATGACCAGCCACCCCCAGTGCATGTATCATGTTGATGAATCCAACCAGGATTGTAGCTAATTACATTTTATATTGTATTATATTTCATTTAATTATATTATTTTTCATGTTTATTGGGTTCACTCACATAGTTTTGTGCGTTAGCATTTGATTATTATGACTTTACACAAAGTGCAGTTAATTCTGATCACTCATTTGTTATGTAGGTGTTAGCTCACAAAACAAAGTGTATATTTAAAATGATTTAATAATTTAATAGCCAGGGGATGACCAAAGTCAGTAGAATTCATCCTCTGAGGATGAGGACAAATGCTGTTACAATAAAGTTTGGACAAGAGCTTGACTAGCACAAAGGCCATGTTGCCAGTATGGCTGAAAACAAAAAATCCTTATCTCATTTCAGAGAATTTGCGATGACAATCTACATATAAATAGCCTATTTTATCGAAATCATCCAACCGAACAAACTGAAACTATACGTTTGTCTTTTTTACCTGAGAATCTTTTCAGCCCTACCAACCAGTGAAGGTCTTGGAAATGTTTTGCATGTTAATCTATTATTTTATACATGAGAGTTTTAATTGTTCTCATAGTGAAAAATGTAATTTGATTCTCATCAGATGGTGAGTTTACTGAGGAACTGGCCCGACCTCCCTGCCATCCATGCCTTAGAGCTCTTAGACTACAGTTTCCCCGACCCAGCGGTGCGTTCTTTTACTATCAGATGCCTCAGGAAGCTCAGGTACTCATATGTTTGTTTTTGCATCTATACAACATTTTGTATTTTGACTTTTAATTGAATAGTCATCTATGGTGATGGATGAAAAATAAACAGTCCAAAAACCTTTAATGATTTCAGACCTGTGGCTTTCACTTCTATTTTAAACAAAATCTTTGGAAAAACTATGAGGTCTGAATTTTAAGACACACTGAGCACTTGACCAGCTGCAATTTGCCTACAGACCTCACAGAGAAGTGAAAGACACCTCACTCACTCTGCCCAATTTCCTTTTAAACACTTAAAGGGAAAGGGCTGTCTGCTTTTATTTATTGATTTTTCATCTGCTTTTAACACAATTCAACCTCAAATTTCAACCTGTAGCCTTTTAGAACATTTGAACATTTTTTAAGTTTTAATCTTGTGGGCTGGCTTTTAGATTCTCTAGGAAACATGACACAAAGACTCACAGTGAATGGATGTTTATCAGATAAAGTTTGCTCTTCCACTTTTTTATCCTTATACAAATATGTGTCAGAGCTCATTTAAAGATAGGATCATTTTAAAGTACAGGGATGACTCTGTGATTGTGAGTCTGCTTCAGACAAATGAGAACAGCCATGGACCAATTGCAAGGATATGGTCAGAAAACTTTCCCACACACGAAGACACATTATCAAAGGTCAAACTGTGGAATGTCTGCAGTCTTATAAATACCTTGGGTCTATTGTTGACTCCAAACTGAACTTTGAAGCAAACAGTGAAGCTTTGTGCAAAAAGGGGCACCAGCGTTTATACTGTTTGAGGCAACAGTCTTATTTTCATATTAACAAAACCATGCTGACACTATTTTATTGAGTCTTTTTTATCATTTCCTTTGGGGTCCTGGTTTGGTAACCTGTCTTTGAATGATAGAAACAGACTGAGTCAGGTTGTGAAATGGTCCAGGTGGCTGATTGGTGAGCCTCAGATGGATGTAGAGTCCTTGTACACCAGACATTTCCAGAGGATAGCCAGCTCCGTTACCATTACTAATGATGACTTGCATCCTTTGCATGGGGAATTCCAGCTTCTACACTCTAGTTGAAGACTTATAGTCCCAAGGGGTAAAACAAAATGCTATAGATATAGATTTGTTCCAGCTACAATTGTTCACATGAACGGGTTATAGCTATATTTGCACATTTGGCCTTATCCAATTTTCTAACCCTTTTTGTCATGGTTTTTGTGGTCTTGTCTTCTGTCAGTATCTTATGATTTTGAACTGTGTTTGGATGGATGCCTCCTCTTTTTCTACGCTGCAAAACAAATCTACCTATGGGTACAAATAAAGTAACCTAACCTATGGTCCACTTTCTCTGCACACAGTGACGATGAACTACTTCAGTATTTAATCCAGCTGGTCCAGGTCCTGAAGTACGAGTCCTACCTCGACTGTGATCTCACCATTTTCCTGCTGGAGAGGGCTTTGTCCAACAGAAGGATAGGACATTTTCTGTTTTGGCATCTCAGGTGAGACGCAGCCCAACAGAAAACCCAACATCACGTACATCTGCAGCCTTTTGTTCAAGTCTTGTGTTCATCATAGGTCGGAGATTCACGTGGCGTCTGTGACTCTGCGCTTTGGCCTGATTTTGGAGGCGTACTGCAGAGGAAACATTCACCACATAAAGCTCTTAACCAAACAGGTAATCTCACATGGCTGTACTCTCTGACTTCTTGCACAGTGAGTGTGTTTGTTTTGTGCTAATGCTCAGTTTCTGCCACACAGAACGAGGCTCTGAGCAAAATGAAGGCCCTGAGTGACTTTGTCAAGTCAGGCTCTCAGAAGTTGACGGCAGAAGACCTGAAACTGTGTATCAGACAAGAGTCATACCTGGAGGCCCTGTCAGACCTGCTGTCACCACTCAACCCCAGCATCATCCTCGCTCAGATCTGGTTAGTTCCAAAAACACAGCACATACACACACACAAATAATACACACACACACACACWCAAATRCTGCAGGATAACCTTTTTTTTTGCCACTTGCATTTTCTGCCTCCATAAGTTTTGACTCTTCGAAACCTTACATGAGAGGATAGTGACATTTCTTTTGGTTTTTCCTCACTGTAGCTCGTCATTTGCATCTCCATCATATTTTGWAAAAAAAAAAAAAAAAAAAAGCATTCCAAGTGCATAGTTTATTTTGTCCTTAGCCTATAAACTTGACACACTGTTAAGATGATCAAATGTTCATATTGAGTGCGTTTACTCTCGCAGTGCAAATAAGTGCAGATTTATGGACTCCAAGATGAAGCCACTCTGGTTGATGTATGAGAACTACTGGGCTCCAGGAGACATGGTGGGAATCATCTTCAAGAACGGAGATGGTGAGAGACAAGAAAATCTGAATTCATGGCATCATATTAACATACAGTAGCCACACAAAGTCAGGGATTAAACTGTAATTCCCTTTAGTTTAGAGACACTGACTGGTTAAAATGCATGGTTGTACATTTGAGTGGAACAGAATGATAAACAGGTTTGGAAAGGGACGTCTCTGAAATTCAAAAAGAGGAATTGTAGAAGTCAAAAATAACAAGGCAGGAAATTAAAATCTTGTACATCAGCAATGACAATGAAATGAAGATTTTTTTTATGCCACCTTTATTTTAACTCATCACCTTTAGATCTCCGACAAGACATGTTGACCCTCCAGATGATCCAGCTCATGGAGACTTTATGGAAGAAAGAAGGCCTTGATCTCAGGTACATTGGGAGCGGCTGCTGATGTTACTGCATGAGAAGATCTCCCACACCAACCTAAAACTCAATTTTACCCCCACACTCACAGGATGATCCCATATGGCTGCTTGTCCACTGGGAACAAGATGGGACTCATCGAGGTAGTGAAGAACTCGGACACCATTGCCAACATCCAGCGCAACAACAGTAACAGTGCCGCCACGGCTGCCTTCAACAAGGACGCCCTGCTCAACTGGCTCAAATCTAAGAATCCTGAGTGAGTATGATGAGCTGCTACATTGTTCACTATCATCTGTTCTTAAGACGCTGTACTGATCTCTGTAGAAGTGATGATATGTTTAACCCAAGAACCCAACACTGGGTCTCTTATATGCTCACAAAGGTTGTTTAAAGCCACAAATGTCCTATCGTCCATTTTTTTAGTTGTTTATCTGGGTCACAGTTGCAACAGGGAAAGAACATGTGTCCAAATGGCCCCTTCACAGTAACTTTCCCCAGATTCCTTCTAGGGGGGATCGCTCAGTGCCCATGAACCAGATTTGTCATGATCTGTGTCTCAAAGGAGACTGATTATGATTATATGCAGGTTTATCATTTATATTTGGGTTATTGCTTAAAAAAAATGTCTCTTCAAGGCCCCCCCTCCCTGATTGACCAGCTGGCCCACCGTGTTGTGATTAGTCCAGCGGTTCCAACAGGCTTTCTCTCTACCTGACTTTGTTCGGGCGTGACAGACTAGCCACTGGGCGTGCCGTGCATAATGTAAATGTGGTATTGGTATTGTGTGGACGACTGATGAGGTGTTTCAGGAGTTTCGGGAACAGTGTTTTCTGTGGGGGAGGGGAGCTCTCTGTACTGTGGCTTTTTTAACTTACACACCTTGTACCAAAAACATCTATTAGAATCAGAGTTTGCTGAAGAAGACCACCACAAGACCCTTTGTTAAACTTTTTACACAGGTCTTATGATTGCTAAATGGGGATGATTATATTTTAGTTAACAAACATCATTGATGCCAGTTTTAATTCCAAGTCAAGATCCCAAACGGATTTAGATTTATTTCATGTAAATCAATGAGGTAACAACGTCTAACAACATTATACACTGTAGCTTTATTTGTAACAAATTACACCAGAGACAATGATGGAAGCCTTTTTTTTATATTGTAAGAGATGTGGTATGCAGTGTGTGTGTGTGTGTGTGTGTGTGTGTGTGTGTGTGTGTGTGTGTTTGTGCAGTCTGAATTGTTCATATCAAAATATTTATTGTGTGCAGCGTTGTGAGACAATGACAGACCCAGACAAAGTGCACAGGCAACTACAGCTTTGGCAACATTAACTGAGAGTAGATTTTGATTTGGTGCCAGACAGTCTGAAGGTCTTGTCCATTCTAAATGCTCCTTGAAGAAGGAGAACCATTCGGTGTAATGAATAAGCCTCTGTACGTCATGTTGGCAGGACGGGCTCAGCTGACTGCACGACAGAACAGAGAGGTAATTAACTTGAAATGCTGCCTCACCCGGAATGGAGTGGAGAAAATTAGTAAAAGCTTAACATGGTGAACCCTGTGCACGTCTAGACCGTTAAAGGACGTGACAGTCAATCATTAATTGGCCTCAGGAAGTCCTCTGTGAATATTTCATACAGCAGTAAAGAAAATCTACCTCATGACTGAACGTTGAATGTGTTTGTACAGTAGTTAAGTTGGTTACCCTTGTTTCTCTGAACCTTTTTGTCACCAGAGACAAACTTGATGAAGCCATAGAAGAGTTCACGCTGTCCTGTGCTGGCTACTGTGTAGCTACTTACGTCTTGGGCATCGGAGATCGTCACAATGACAATATCATGATCAGGGAAACTGGACAGGTGAGGCTCACTGGTGTAAAACATGAAAAAAAACTAATACTGACTGATATGTTATAGTTTGCAGTCGAGTTTCCAACAATCTTACAACCTTAATATATCTTGGAGGTGACTTTTAATTTAATTCAAATGATGATCTATTCAGATTAAAGTCATTTTGGAGAAAAATCTTTCACGTCCCTGGTGAGTGTGGTCTGTGATTCAGAACCGACTTAACAGTCATTTTAACCTTTGTCCCTCAGCTGTTCCACATTGACTTTGGGCATTTCCTGGGCAACTTCAAACGGAAACTTGGGATCAACAGAGAGCGTGTGCCTTTCATTCTGACGTATGACTTTGTTCATGTGATCCAGCAAGGAAGGACAAACAACAGCGAGAAGTTTGAGAGGTACAAAATTTACCAAGGATTGGTTATGTTTTCACCCTTGTATGTTTTTACGTTTGTCAGCAAGATTAGTAATGAATTACAAAAACATTTGCTGGAAGGATGTAGGTGGTGGATCCAGAATTGTTTTTCACTTTAACATTGTGAGATCATTGATCTTGACATTTTCAGTGATTTCTCTGGAAGTAATTCTAGGATCTTGATTGTTTTTTGCTATTTTATTTAGTTTTCCATTTTACAATGACAAAACAGACAAAATATAACTATTAAAAGATTATATTAGGAATATATTGCAAACGTCTTGGTGTCTAAAATACCCCATTCGCTTATGTAGCAAGGCAGGTCAGTTTCCCTTAACATGAGGTGTGATCTGATAATGCTCCCAGAGAGGACCCTTAAATTCTCACAAATCTGTCCTGTGTATAGGATTTATGCAGTGAAAGTCTTTCCATTTGATTAAAAGACAACATCTCCTTGAGCCAATGCAGAAAACATGGTGAAGTTGTATACTTCAAGGTGAAGAGCAATCTGCAAGTATTCATGGGTCTTTATGAAATAAAAATCAGGCCCATTAGAGATCGGATTTCTTTAAAGCTGTTTTCAGACATGAACTCAGAAGAATGTCCACACAATTTGGTCCAGACTTTCTCCAGAGTTTGCAGGGAATCCTGCAGAGGATCCACTGCTCTGTTTTCATATTGGCTCATTTGGACATTCCATGGACTTGATACCAGGGGGCTGGCTGGAGAAAGTCCAGAGGCTCTTACTCAGACATTCTCACTTACAGCCCGTCCCTCTTAAGTGTGCACAATTTGGTGCAGCTTGATTGAATTTAAGGTAACAGTTGGGTATGACTTTGTTCACTAGTCTTGGTTCACATATTTTATAGCTGATGAGTGATTGTTGCATCCTTGTCGTCAGGTTCAGGGAGTACTGTGAGTGGGCCTACAAGATCCTGTGTCGGAACGGAACTCTGTTCGTGAACCTCTTCGCTATGATGAAGGCAGCAGGACTGCCAGAGCTCACCTCCTTCAAAGACATCCAGTATCTAAAGGTATGCAACAATACTAATGATAATGATTCTACTGCTGATGCCAATGAGGATCATGATAATGATGACAATCTTTTGGATCTTGTTTCCAAAAGGATTCTTTAGCTTTGGGCAAATCAGAGGAAGAGGCACTGAAGAATTTCAAAGTAAAGTTTAATGAAGCACTGCGAGAGAGCTGGAAGACCAAGGTCAACTGGATGATGCACTCATTGGCCAAAGATAACAGACCATGAAGAACATTGAACAACTGAGGACAAGCATATACATGATGGATTTTAACTTTATGGAGATAAAATTGAAGAAAACAATTGGATATTTTACTTTAACGATGGCACTTAAACATATTCAGCGTTTGTTTACATCTGTCTGGCCAGTCTGTGGTAAATAAAGACCAAGTGGGGGCATCCAAAGACAATGAGATACAGTAATCATGGAGCCTGGTTTCAGACAGTGGAATGCCTTTACCTCTTGGCCAAATCGATTGTGTTTTTGATTTGTTCAAAACTGTTACTTGAAGACCACCTGCTCATGTGAAGATATGAATCACTGGAGCAGGAGCAGAGACTGAAACTTCATTTCACCAAATGCATCATTGCTCAACAGGGAGCAGACGACAAAGGATGATGATAATTTTAGATGAAACCTTTCAGTCACAGAATATAATAATAATAATAACAGGGCGGCACTTTCACCTCAAGTCTTTCATATAGATTGATGGTTGTGTCGTTTCCTCACATTTCAACTGCCTATTTGCAATTGTGTCTTTTTTTTCTGTTGTATTTTATTTAATTTGATAACTTTGAAGAACTTGTACAAAGTCATGAAGGATATTTTAAAAAGATGCTCTATCACTTATTGATTTGTAATATTGCCTTAAAGTACAATATGTTGCCTTTTGAATAGGACCATTATTTTTGATAACATCCCCCTGGACCAAGCCGTTACTCCAAACAGAGCCTCACAAAACACCAACTTCTCATTAGAGGAATAGTATTATATTGTGGTAAATATGCCTATTTGCATTTTTATATGGAGTAAGATGAGAACTCACATGTTTGCCAGTTGGCTTAGCTTAGTACAAAGAGACAACCCTGGTTCAAGGTGCTTCAAGTTTTATTAAATTTAGTGGCCAACAACATTTTGCACCAATTTTAGAGCATTTCACACTACAACAGACTGCCAATGTGATCATTTCACTGTCAAAGCAGCATAGGAGCATGATCAGCAATGGATAGCTCACACGTGAAATGTTTAATAATTCTTCATCAGCAGTTGTGCATAACATTACCTTGCCTATGTCACCTTCCACATTTGTGCATGAGATAGGCCACACAGAAAATCCACTGAATATTCTCAAAACGTAATTTTAAACATTATGAAAAATGCTATTATGCTACTCTCAAAATGTTACTCTAGAAATTTAGATAAATTCAAATTCAAATTTACTTCCAGTATCCATGTCTAGCTGAAGGAAACAATATCAGCACTTCTTAAAATAAAAGTGTTTATTTGCAAGTTGGGCAGAATGTTGTAACCTCTTTGCAAACTCAGATTGTTTCCATTTACGCTAAGCTAACTGTCTAACAGAGAGATTCCATCAATGACATGACTTCCATTAGCATCTAGAAAGAGAGATGATCTCAGGCCCACAGCTCAGATGTTTCAGGTGTTTGGTGACTCTAACAGACAAAATATTGAGAACCTGAATCAGTAAATCCCAAAATGAAACAATCTCATTCGTCAGATGTAAGCCATAGACGTGCAGTTGTGTAACTGTTCGTGTGGCCCTCTTGAAAGCGTACTTTCTCAGATGATGCAGTATCCGTGTCTGTGTGTTTATGAGCGTCTGTTGATTTCTGATATTTAAGCTATGCATTGTAATTCCCATTGTATTTTTTTACCTGATGTGCCAGGTTAATTTGGTGTCAAACACGTCCATACTTGCATGAATGTGACGTATGTGATGATCGACCAGATGTCTGTTTAAGTGAGCCTGTGTGCTGGATGATTCAATATCATGTGGTCTTCACATTAATTAACATGCTGTATATCCTGCTGTCAGTCCTGCAAGGACCGGTTGAATGAAAACAGATGATGTGCTTTTCATATTCTTCTTAACAGGTGAAACGATCTCTACCGTTTGTATGAGTCTCGGTACAGTGATGACTTTTAGAGAAGAGCGAGTGTAGCTGTTGATTCTACAACTTTACCCCCCCCCCATTACTGAAATATTCACTGTGGAATATACTTTAAATAAGGGTCATCAGTACAGAGTTATTTAAACACTTCTGCTTCAAGCAAGAAAGAGTGAGTCTACTCAGTAAATGGGCTATTTTTGCAAATTGTAAAATATACTGCTGTTGCCTTTTGATTGATTGTAATTCATTGTTTTAAGGCTCAGGCCTTATTCACATGTGTGCAGCTAAAACCTTTCTCCTTTGCTTAATTTGTTCTCAGGAGGGAAACATACTATCAATAAACAGTTTGCAACAGCAAATTTCACTTGTAGCTTTTCTAGCTGCTGTGCGTGTGTTTGTTTATACAGAATACCTTAACAAGCAATAGATTTTCATTGGTCGTATCACTGCTCACACAAGCTGTGATTAGTGATTTTGGGTCATAGATCTTGTTCAGCTGAAAGGATGGAGTAAACCTGGCATGCTCCAGGCTAAGACAAGTACTCTATTCTACAAGTAACTATTAAAATCATTATTATTACTTTAGGTCAGAGTTTTTGTTTTTCCCAAGGGCCCCTTGAAGGTTTGTCTGGCCCTTGCATTACTGAAATAGTAAATTTTAATAATTAACCAATAGGTTCAAAGAGGGTACAGAGGCAAGGGTGGTTACAAGAGGAAGTTGGAGGAACAACACAAGAGAGGTGTGTAGAGGCCTGAAAACAATCTATGGCCACAGCAATGACAGTGGGAGGGGCCTAGAATCTGGAGACAAGGAGTGGGTAAATGAGCTGAATTAGTTTTTCAACAGATTTGATTCTGTCCCTGCTCCCTCCCCCACTGAATCACCTTTACATCAACACTTTCAAGACAAAGTAGATGTTGATAGACGTTTGCAGGAAGTTGCCCCAGACCACACAGCTTAACATCCATGGCTTGGACATTGAGATTGTTGGGGACAACAGATACCTTGGTCTTCAACAACTAACTGGAATGGTCCCCCAACACAGACGTCCTGTACATGAAGGGCCAGAGTCATCTCCATTTGCTGAGGAGACTGAGAACCCTCAGAGTGTACAGGACACTAAGGTCTTTTTATGACACTGTGGTGGCATCTGCACTGTTCTATGCTGTTCTATCCATCTGCTGGGGGTGCGGGTGTACTGAGTGGGACAGAAAAAGACTAAATAAACTGTTTAGGAGAGCCAGCCTCGGTCTTGGACTGCCCTCTGGGTTCCATTGAGGAAGTGGGTGAGAGGAGGATGTTAGCGAAACTGAATTACTTCATGGACAACACCTCTCAACCCTACATGACACTGTTGGGGCCCTGAGCAGCTCTTTCAGCAGCACACTGCTCCACCCACAGTGTCAGAAGGAACCTGCGTCCTTCATTTCCACTGTCAGACTCAACAACACCATCCAAAATTTTAAACAAAATACTGCACCATCTTTGTTTGGTTTTTCCTCTCATGTCACTCTACTCTATCTATTTGTAAAATAACCTTTTGCACACTACTCATCTGCACTTCACAATATTTCCTTATATTTATGAACGTTTTTTGTACTTGCTTGTGCAATCATCCTGTCCACTTTTATATACAAACCACTACAGTGAAAGGTGCATATCATATACACACTTATGCATTGATTCTTATTCTATTCTATTTTATAAATTATAGTTTTAGTGTCTTGTCTACCTCATTCTGACCTACCTGCTGAACTGAATTCCCTGGTGTGTGGATCAACAAAGTTTGATCTTATCTTATCATGTAAGTAAAATGATCCTAAACAATAACATTGAAATCATACATGGCTGCTTCCCCACTTCACCTGTAAGGCACATGCGGGGTCAAATCTAATCTTTAATTCAGGTTTTACTCTCCTGACTGTGCAATATTTATTCCTGTCTGTGCAATTCAATGACCTTTCACTAAATATATCTCACACTATATGTTTTTAGATTTCCTGACATTTTCAGTATTGCATGTTTACTTTTTAATTATTTTGCTGATGTCTATTGTTCAATGCCCTAACGCTGCAGTAACACCTCAAACACCCCAGCTGTGAAACTGATGAAGGATTATTTTAGTTTACCTTCATCGCAGACTCTCGGTATGTGCGGTGTTGGCTGTGCCGGTGGCGCCCCTGGAGGTCCGCAGCGGTACTGCTCAGCCATCAGGACTCCGGCTGCGTTGAGTCAGTCCGCCGTAGCTGCGCCGACTGGAGGGATGTGACCCCGGAACAGGACGCCCTCCTACAACAACACACCATTCAAACAGAGCACAGAAGAAAGAAAAGCTGGACCAGGAGGGGTAAGCTTCGTCTGTGTTGCCTTTCCTGTCGAGCTTCCCCGCGTCAGGGGCTTTTTCTGAGCGGTACGTGTGTTTGAATCCCGGCGTTGTACACTTCTGGCACAGCGGCGGCACCTGGATGCTGTTTGCACCCATAGGAACTTCATTCAGGCTTTTGTCTCGGGTATGCTAGCGAGCTAGCTCGGCTATGTAGCATCGCCTGCTTTGCCAAAGGTGGCGCGGCTTTGGTGGAGACTGGATTACAGGCTTGTCTCGGTGTAAATGGAGGCGACCTGTTAGTCGTTACAAGTCGTGTTCACGCATTTTCTCCGTGACGTGCGGTTAAAGATCCATATCGAGGTTGCGGTGGAGGCTCGTCGCTTGCTGCTAGCATGAGCGCTGCTACAGTATGAACGGTCTGCGTCCCGCAACATGATAACACGACCCGCACACCGCCATGTGTTTTTATCTGGTGCTTGACTTCTGCTTGCTGTGTTTAGTCTCAAAGCTTTTGTCTTTGCTCAGCTAGGTTTCATTCAGAATTGGTCTGTGAAAAAACCCCCTCATAAAACCGCACGGTATCTTGCGGTCAGCAACTGTAAATCTCAGCTCACGTCAGTGGACATTAAGCAGAGTGGTCAGTTTGTGAGACTTGTACCCACCATTATAATGTTAGTAACCATGTAGTTAACGTGACCTTACAGTAGTTTTCTGTTTCCTGCAGACAACAGATTCTACATGTAGTTTATACCAGACTGCATAAATATACCAATTACAGACCCATTCATCAAACACCCACCAATCAGCAAAGACAACACAAAGGCACAGGGGACATTTACAATGCTGCTCCAACTTCTTAAACTCTATACCTGTGACCACTGTCTTCTACATGCTTTTCATGTTCATATAACTCCATTGATTTTCTATTTTTGGCTCCTGCCACCCATGGGTGCATTGTGCCACCCCTGCCTTTTACAGTGTCTGCTTCCCTCCACATGTCAGATAGCTGACAACCCTCTGAGTGGCAAAGCTGGCACCCTGCCGGCAGCAGGGCATTGATGGGCGCTGAGGCCAGTGGGTGTTGAGGCTTGGCCACTGGCAGGCACACTGAAACCTATTGGCAACTAGCAGGAGTTGGTCATGGACCACAGTATGTCAAGCCTGCCTTAGTTTGCACATTCCCCTAGCTGACTGGGTTTTGGAGAGAGATTAGGACCCCTGGCCTCGCCTCCCTCCCCTCCTCGCTTCGTCACATTTAGGGCAGGTGCTCTTCGGCGGCTGCTCAACCCCCTCAAGCCCCTAGGGTACCTCATCAGCTGCCTGCGAACAGCGTGAGGGAGTGGGGGCTTGTTCATCACACAACCTCTTGCTCTGTGTTTGGCACATGCACTTGTCAGCCTGTCGGCATTAACCAGGCCACGTACGAGTCCCTTGTGGCCTGTCGCTAACATAGAAGAGCTGCTTTCATCCATTCGTCTCCTGCACTAAGTCCAAATGACAGAGGCCTCCAGACAATCACAAGTCTTTTTAACTTGAGAATCAAACTTGAAAGCGTAGCCATCTTTTCTGTCTGCACTTCTTTGTCTGTTTTATATGGTATCTGGCTCATTTGCATTTCATTGCATTGTTCCAAGCACAGCGATCATATAACTGCTCACAAATCAGATTTTTTTTCACCATGCGTTGACGCTGGCATGTTCAAGATCTTGCAGATGCACCCCAAGGGACCAGCTTAAGGCAGCAGCTTCTGTTTCAATTCCTTTGAGATGCCCGGACGAGCGCGCTAAGATGCTCTGAGATCATAGTTAATTATGTTATATAGTGTGGTCTGTGAAAAACATGTATCAAATGACATATTGTGGAAACATTTACACAGGTTACTTATTGTAAAAAGGGTTGAATTTTGATACAAGTTGTTAATGAAAACTGTATCATTAAATGTACAAGTTTGGCTCAACAGAAGCATAAATAATGGCAGAATGTAATCTAAAATCTTTAGCTTGTCTGTGGGGTTAAGTATTCATTTTTCAAATGTCATTTAGAGTAATGCTCTCTCTGGGCCCTAACCCTAACCCATCAATTGATTGTGGCACAGTAATGGCCAGAGACCACTAAAGCACACCTAGAAACCCAGCTATGAACTAAGCCTGTACAGTTGAGCAGGATTATTTGAGTTCATGCCTCACGTGGTGACAACAAGACATGACCTACTTATCAATCATGTTTTCACAATCCAGTTCATCATCATTGTCCCCAAATACTGTAGCCATTGTTGTGGGCATTGTACATGTGGGGAGATGGTTCCACACAAAGGCAGCATGCAGACATCCAGTAAATCCAAGCCAGAGCCTTTCTGGCCTGCAGTGTCTGCCCGTCTGGCCCACGCTGTTTTAGGACCCCATGCTGGCCCAACTCAGAGGGAGTCACTCTGGACTTTGGTGGAAAAGTAGTTGTCATTATGGATCCGCAGCTTTGGATGCTTATAATTTGTGATGTGTCAGGTATTAGATGGTTTGAAATTACTGTTGGAAATGAAAGGGTTGAGGGTCATTGGTTCCACTGCTTCATATAGGAGCTGAATGTCGACTATGGCCAATGTTCGAGGCAGATTTTTAAGACGGGACAGTGCAGTACTGATGGGAATGCTAGCACTGCATCATGGGAGGCAGAAGACAGTGTCAGGAAAATCTACCCTGTTCCAAAATAATCAGGTCACATTTTGCTGTGAAAATACTCATAACAAAATCTACAGTTTGGTGTAAAGACCTTTAACTGACTAATCATTGCAGCTCCATAAATAATAAAAAAATATATATTTTGATACCTGCAGCTGCCAAAGCTTAATTCATCAAATGATGTCCCTTATAAAGTCTCAGTCAGTTATTTTCAGGGAACACAATCTTTTCACAAAAGGAAAATTAATCAGAATAATGTTATTTCTTAATGTAAGTATGATGTCTTGTTGTTTTAACTGGTAGAAGAGAGTCAGTGTGTGTGTCTGTGTGTAACCTGCAGTGACACAGCTGCTCTACAGAACCAGGCCAGGTTGTTGACAGCTCAGCTGGCAGTCACACCAGGGTTGTAGCCTACTAAAGTTTCTCACACATTTGCTCTGGATGCTAGAGCAGCTCAGGACTGAATTCAGATTATTTTCCCTGCTCAAGGTTTTTCTCTGCAGAGACTTTCGACCTCCTAGGGTCCTCTGGTTCAGGCTTTTGGCGGCTTGTCCGTCAGCTCAGAGGCATGTTTCCTCTCTTCCTGCTTCCTGGAGGAATTTGATTTTTAAAACAATCAGACATTGTGCATCATGCGAGCCAGTAACAAGCTCAACAAGTGGACCGGCCCGTGTGTTATCGGGTCGGTGCACTGTGGCAGCCTCTGCCCCTCATGACCCTCAGCAAATGTGGGGGCCTATCACATTGCATGCTGTAATTCCTGGCAGCAGGCCCTCACTCAACTGTGTGGCGCACCCTTAGTGTTGAAATGGAGAGTGGCAGCACTGAACGTCCGTCCATCGGATTCCTGAACCACTTATCTTCCTAAGGTCGGGGGGGGGGGGGTTGGGGCCAATCCGAGCAGAGTTTGGGCAAGCAGCTGGGTACAGCCTGGACAGGTCAGCAGTCCATCACATGATTGACACATGGAGACATTCACACCTTTGAGCAATTTAGAGTCCTGCCTAATCTGAATTCAATTCTTCAAGAAAACAGTTACTCTAAATCACAATATGTTTTAAAAAATGGCTTCAGTTAAACGGCACAATTTGAAGGTTATATCATTGGCACCTCGGAAGTTATCCGAGAGATACATTTGGTTTACATATCAGAGAAATACATTTGGTTTACATTGCCATCTTTTTCACTAAGAAAAATAATATCATAGCAACTCCTCCATGTTTTGTTTGACAAGTTTAATGATATAATAAAAAGTAAATACCAAATAAATTTTAATGGAAAATATGCTGTTATTTTTATACAACTGAGTAAAATAAAAAAAATTGCTGAAAAGTACACACATTCCCTGTACAACTTACATATTTGTATGCCATAAATTCATAAAAGGCATTAATAAAACTGATAAAATTAATGATGTAAAGATACAACTATGGCTCAGTATTGTAACATAAGGTATTAGAGTGCAGAGTGGAAACCATTAGCCCTTAAATTAAAGTCAGAAAATGAACTAATATGTGGGCAGATTGGAAATTAGAACCGTGTCCTCATGTTGGGTTTGGATTCTTTAATTCTTGTCTCAGCTCAGTGGCAGCGATCCTGTCTTTTCACTGAGCTGTCTAGAGGGACTTTGACTTGATGCCTCAGTTCAGCCCAACATCACAACATTGACGGGGGTGGGGTTAGATCAGCATAAAAGAAAGCCTTTGATTACGTCTGGAACATTAGCCACATGTGTCTGTGTCCGAGTGTCCCCTGGGGGATTAGTGTTGAGCCAGCCCACCTCTAGAAGCTATCAGCACGCACACAAAGGAGTCTTACAGGATCCTTGTTGTGGTCTTGAAAATATTTAAGACACAAAAGAAGATCATGTTCATCAGAATAATGCTAGAAAAAACAGGTATGCTTCACTGGGAAAGATTTCTCCCTAAAGTTCTAGTTGTAGTAGAAGCCTCTTGAGAAATCAGCTTTAATTTCACTGTAACTTTTGATTTTATTCTTATTCTTAGCTGTTTAAAAAAAACATTTATTATTCAGTGCAGTATTCAGTTTAGCATTTGAAAACCTGGAACCTTTGACAGTTGATTTAATTAAAGTAAATGAAAAAAATGTATATCATAAGGTTAATTCATTTTGCCATGAGTCAGTTTATAGACTAATCAATGGTACAATTGAAAATGTATCAACAGTCCGGATCAATTTGTCATTTTTAATAAGCAAATAAAACAAACAATCTGTTTGGTGTCAGCTTTTTAGTTGTGAGTACTTATTTATTTATTACTTGTGTTTTAAGTCATGTCTTTGAGTTTTACATTTTGGTGAAAGGTCTTGGAAATTGTGATTTACACTATTGTGTACATGTAATGAATAATGAAGCACTTGTGAAAATCATCTTTGATCAATAATAAAAACGTTGCAGCATATTATCAAACATATCTACATACAGGCCTGTGACAGCACATCTGAACATGAGGACATGTTTGATATTTTACCTCAAAATCACCTTTAGCTGGACACACTGTGTTTAAAATGTTGTAATCCAGTGCTGATTCCCTGAAAGGGATTATTTAGAAGTTAAGTCTGTGGCAGTAAGGCGTTGTATGCCAGGAATCTGAGTACTGTCTGGAGCATTGTTGGATTTATAAACATGGCTGGAAAGCTAGTTGGCTCAATCTGAGTGCATGGATAAAACCGTGCGTTACATAATCATATGCACAATGTTAATCACTGTTGTATACATGTTGTCATCCACTTCATCGTGTACCAGAGCTGTAATGATTGTAGTTCTTTAGCTGCCCTAAATAGTTACCTACAAATTAGTCTCTCTAACAGAGGAACATCACTGATCATCCACATATATGATTCCACATTGTTTCTTCTTACTGCAGCGATTCTCCCATTGGGATTTCATTTACTCCATTTGTTGTTTGTGCTGCAGATACGGCTGTGAAAGTGGGATAAGATAAAATACACTTCAAGGCTGGTAAAATATATAAATTACAACCCCTCAATACAGTCAGGAGCCTGGGCAGAGATGGTGCTAAATATGGCTGGTTTTCAAACTTCAAAAGGAAACACTAGTGGATCATAAAATGCGTTAGTTATCAAAGCAGCAGTCCTATTTATACAGACGAGTATAAACGGGGAATATATCGACCTTTTGTGTGATAGAAGACTTTAAAAATGTTAAAGTTGTCAAGTCTCAAAATATGCCTGAGTAATAATGCATCTTTGTTGTATAATCAATTCTGTCTTTCAAACTCTCAAGATGACACCTCTTTGCAATCACAGAATCCTGTTCTTCAGTTCTTCATCCTCTATTTTTCATCTGCTCGTACGCAGTGACCGGTTTATTCCCAGCATGTTTCTGTGGCTGGCAGATTTGTGCTCCTGAGTCTCTATCTTTATTCATACTGTGTGTGTGTCATCTCGCCGGTTGGTCTCTGTGCCTGGAGTCTCAGCTCTCCTATTTGTCTGAGGCGTGGAGACGTGATCAAACGTGTCACTGCTGCCGATTGAAGCCACTACCACCCCCCACACTACACCCTCCACCAACATCCTCTCTCCATCACTACCCCCACCCTAACACATTCACACACCACCAATACCCCAAAGGTTTACTGAGCTACTGAACTCACACCAGCACACGCTCCATCTTTTCATGTCTGTCTTGCTTTGAGTCTTCAGTCGTTCTCCAATTAAACTGTGCCTGATGTTTGGTCGGTTGGAGTGAATAACTTATGTATTTATCTGCCCCGTATCCATTGCTCTTCTACAGTTTTTTGTGACTGAAAACAAACAAGAGGACAAAGTCATGTGTTAGCTGTTCACAGGAATCGGCCACTAAAGATTGTTATATTGATAAGGACTGTAGCCACAAGCATGCTCTCCAGCTGCTCTGATCTGGATGAATCCATACACTCAGTGGCACCCAAACGTCAGCCAATGGCTAACGGTGCCTCATTCATCCTGGGCTCTGGGAAAGAAGGGACAGCAAGCCAGCTCCTCAATTAAATATAACCCCACATCAAACAGCCTGTCAACATGCATTAGTGGTCCTTTGTATAGATAAGAGGCTGAAATAAATGGCCAGAACTATCATAGTCGCTGTGGCTCCCATTCTTCTTTGGGGAAAACAAATCCTGACTTGCATGCTGATCTCATTTTTTATGTCCAGAATTCTCTTTCGACTTTTCAGTTAGTTATTCCATCTGCGTGTTTTAGCTTTTTCTACTAGAAAATGTAGGTAAGGAATCAAGCAGTGCTGTATGCCTCATCTTGTTGGTGCGTTGTAAAGGATATCTGATGCGACAGCAGCCGACCTTGATGTGTGCGCTATCACAGCGGAACCTATCCCTTTTCTGTCATCCGCATTAGCTTTGGCAGCTTCTTTTATCGCCTCCCCCTCGCCCACTTTTTTCTCCTCCTTTGCCTATATTTCACATCTCTGCAGACTGACGGTGAAAATAGGTCATTAGTTAGATGGAGAAGAAGAGATGGAAAGAGCAGGCAGTGGTGAGATCTGTGTGGAAAATGCCATACAATATTAATAAAAGCTATTCATGTTGTGTAGTGCCAAAACTACTGTGACTACACAAGGCAAGGCTACTGATGTCTAATATCATCCCTTTTTGGATTATATGAATATGGTGTTTATCACACACATCATCGATATCATTTATGCTATAGTAAACCATCCAGTTCCAGATAAGAGAAACATTTAATAGTTGAATCAAGTCAGTTTTTTATGTTTTTGTAATAATAAAAGTTTATTAGTTCAATGCTGCGGACTATAGAGGCATCCACACAAATCATTTGGAAAGGATGCTGGGTCATGTTTTAGTTTGAAAACTCTGGAGCTGTGTTTTTGTATCGATAGAAGCAGAAGCATCAGACGTGTTAACAACAGGAAAATGGACATCTGCATCAGCCTTTATTACCTAAAGCACTTGAATCTTCATGTGTGACATCAGAGTTTTATGTCTGAAAGCAGCTTTACCATCAGTAAGAGTTCCACCTTGTCGTTGGTCCCTGAAAATAAATCCCTGCTTATTGTTGTTTCTTGTTCATAGTATTTTCTGCAGAGTAGACGATCTGCTTCCAGCTCACGTGTGCTTAGAGTAAATGAATGGTCATGTATGTTTATAAAAGAGTAATAATATCTGAAACGCTTTTCTGGACGGAGACTTTTTTAGTTGTTAAAGGCTGATTTAAACTAAATATACTAGCTTGGAGGTAGCCTATATGAGTCTAAACCTTGTAATTAAAAGCACTGACATGGATTATATAAAACGTTCTGTTGGAGCAGTATTCCATACAGAACTGTTGACGAGTTGAATCACTCTGTAGTGACCTGCTTGAAAGTCTCACTTTTCAAGGCTGCAGTGGTGAGAGCTCTCAGTCAAACGATTTTTAGTGGAGTATTAATTTATCATCTCAGCTATTAGAGTGTGCCTGAAACTACCCCTCTACTATAACTGTGTGTGTTTGTATAGCTGTGACTTCTCACAGGTCTTCTGTTATCTTGATTTGTTTGTGTGTGCAGAGCCACAGGAGCAGGGGGGATGAACCGCGAGGAGGCCCCGGGGAAGTCTCCTGAAGACATGTACATCCAACAGAAAGTGCGGGTCCTGCTCATGCTTAAGAAAATGGGATCAAATGTAAGTACAGCGTCTTGACTCGAAACTTAATTTAAAAAAAATTATTGACCAGCTCATACTCGCAAAAGTCTCACAAATATGACACAGTCCATCTCATCTTCTGAAATCTGCCTATAATAAGCTTTTCCAACATGGCTATTCACACCATTTTGAAATGATCATGTCAAGACATCATGGGTAAGATGGTTGCTTTCAGAAGCACAGGGAGAACTTGAATTGACCTACCCTGAAAAGTTGCGCCCTGAGAGCAAGAGCACCTATTTTCTGTTGAAGATATGATGACAGAGCAAACTGAAGCTTATTTCACTGAAAAAAATGAAATACATTTTTAATTTTGTTGGAGGACCTTTAAAACAATCAGAAAAGGGTCTGCTGGTTCTCTGAAAACTGGGTTTTCAGTATTTATGGAGAGGAGACACGCTTGTCAAATCGACTGTCACCCGGTAAATGTCTCCACCAGATTTAGCATGTCTACACCAGGCAGAGCAGACAGCAGCTCCACAGATGGGTTTTCTGTTCAACTCATGTAGTGATAGGGATTGTTGTCTAAATGCCAATTTTGACAGTGTAGAAGACGTCAGCAGAGATAGAAGTTTGCAGCCTCATGAGAGACATTAACTTAATTGCATTCTAAAAGGTTATCAGACGGCAACATTTTGTCTACAAACCTGTCCTCCATCAAATTTTAAATTATAGCATAACAAGCTGAAGAAGTCATATTCATACTTCATTTTTAAAACAATCTAGAGATTAAACAATAATTTAAAAGATATGCCCCTCTCATACTCTGACACTTACAGATATGAGTTTCATTCTTTGATTGAGGTGACTCATAGAAAGAAGTGTTAAAAAGCTAGTTTGGGATCGGTGTCCGTGCCATGGGGATCAGCTGTAACTATGATGTTGTTAATGCTCAGTCTGTGTGGACGTAATCTTGAGGATCTGCATATTTTTTAACTATTGCACAAGTTTTTTATTACGATAGTTTCCAAGCAAATGTCTGCAAATGAACTTCTGATACTAGAATTAAAATTGTCTACATGGTTGTAAGCTGTAATCGTTACAATCAACAACATCAATAAAAGGTGTTACTATTTCTCTGTCCTATTCAATTTGAGCTTCTGTTATAACTGGAAATTTGTTTACCCGTCTTCAGCTCACGCCAAGTGAAGAGGCTTTTCTCCGAAATTACGCAGGTGTGGTCCACAGTCAGATGAGCCAGCTACCACAGCACAACATAGACCAGGGTAAGGCACACGCAAACACACACACACACACACTCAAACAAACAAAGACCTCTTCATAACACAGATACTGATTACACTATTACTGGTATTTGTGTATATAGATATTCAGATATTTCTTGTTGTAATTGTCATAAATTGTTTTTAAAAGGTAAAAGAGGTGAAGGTGTTTTTGACAGTCTGTTAATATGAAACACATTTCAAACACCACCCTCACATATTGGAAATCCCTCCATGCACATCGCCCCTCTTGAGTCCAAACCCCATCTGGCCTATCGGATTCACTGCCTGAGTGCATGGGCCGACCCAGTGGTCCACCAGCACTGTTGGATTACTCATACTGCAAACTGTGTGGCTGACTGGAAACAAGTGACTCATCTTCAGTATGAGTGCATCAGAAGTTTCACCACCAATTCTCACGATCGACCTGGATGGAGAAAAGCATCAAAACATTGTGGTGTTAGTTTTATAGATCAAATCAGTCTTCTCGTGTTTGCTTCATTATGTGGACCTTGAACATTGAATGACGGTCATGTTTTTTCAGGGCACTGGGGAGCGCTGTTGAGCTTCTTCAAGCTCCTGAACTCTTTTATAACTTTAAACCACTAGAGTGTGCTGGATAAAACAAAATAGTGGTGAAATGAGAAGAGGCACTGCAGTGACCTGAGAAAGCAGCAACAAATTTAAATATTTATTCGGTTAGTTGATCCAAAAACTGCTTTCCAGGCTCAGTCCAAACATCACACAGGTGCCCTGCTGTCCTCCTGTGGTAAAGCTGCTTGGGTTTTAGTCTGGATTTGAGTCATGATAATTATTTGAAACATTTTACCGACAATTAAGTGTATCCTTGGCTGTGTCCTCTACCTGCAATGAAACAGTCAGTTTTTTTAATTGAAAAATATGTGATTGACTGCGATTTAGAAGGATTGGGTTTATGATTATATAAGGTATTAAGGAGGCAAGCAGCAGGCACAGTGACTTTGTCTTTTTGTCCTTCTCTGCTGTTTTTTATTATTGTATTTTGTTAAACTCAGCCCCATTTTGCAGCCTGAGGTGCATCCTCACAGTGTGTCACTGATTTCCATAATATTTTAAGTATTTGTATCCTTTTCAATCAGAAGAGTATACATCATTGCTTTAGACAGATGGTGTCACATTTCCTCAAATCTTAAATTTATGGAGCATGTTTTCTGTGTTCAAACAACTGCAAACTAGCTGTCAGTTGGTGCAGCGTGGCCCTGTTCTGTTTCCTGATGCCCTTTACTAGATACAGAACTGCATGTCTTTGCTGTATCAATACTACGAGGAAGAGCCTCATTAATTATGGACGAAATGACTGGTGAGAGGTGCTCCGGCTATGCATTATACATCACAAAAACAGACACATTTAGCATCATCTGGCAGCACACCACCTTCTGTGTGGCAATAAATAATTTGTGGTCTGCGTCTTGTCTAAAGTACTGTGATTAGGCATTTTGGAGATAGCTGAGAGTTAATCACTTGTAAATATTCAATGCTGCGTCAAAGGACAGCGGTTTGTACTTATCAGCACATTCAGGATCCTTTAAAGTGCTGTAAAGACGAAGCACTTACACGAAGGAGGAAGTCAACAATTTGATCTCATTTGGTCCTGATAATATGATAAAAATAGTTGTAGCAGTATCACAGTACACTTTTAATATCACAACACTACACCACTCTGGTTGATATCTGCAGCATAAATGAACAATTAGCTTTTTTTTAAAACAGGTTAGCTTTAGCAATATTTAAATTATGCAAAGGATATTTTAAAAGAATAACATCAACTTGCAGTCAGCACACCCACTGTACTGAGTTAAAATGGTTCTTGAAAATTAGTTAGTTTAAGCAACTCGGTGGAAATGGTGTAAATGTGATTTGGTAAACAGCTGGAATAAAAAGCACCATGTTTAACATCATTACTTCCCAGCTAACGTTTTAAAGATTTTGTATTTTGTCAGACAGCGCAGGTCAGATGATTCTCGTCAGGCTTTATCCCTGTTGGAAACCGATGTAGCCACAATATCCTTCCCCAGGAGCGTGAAACCTGCTGATGCAGGATGCTTTAAAACCAGTGTCATCGAGGGGTCTCAGCATGGAGCGACTGTGTCATGTGGCAGACATGGCCTAAACGATCAAACTGAAGCTACCTAGAGGGCATCAAGGGCATGGTGGAGACTTACGGGTATTGATTACTCAAGGCTGCGCTGTTCTCAGGAAATGTTAAATGGGAGCATAGCTAATGTGACAAATGGTTAACTTTATTGCTGTTGTCAGCTTATACCAGAATATTTATTCTGATTAGAAAACAAATTTGCAGGCGTTGCAGTTAAATCTCTCCAAAAACATTGTCACACTTGATCACATCTGATCAGACTGAGAGGAAACGTTACTCAAACCCTGAATCATTCTCCCTGACTCTGCTTAACTGTCAAAGATTATTCTGTTGTTTCCTTGTAAGGAACAAGAAAAAAACAGCTTTGGGGGGTGCCACTCATATTTCGTTTCAGTCTATGGGTCACTGAATTAGCATTTCAGATAGTTTTAATTGGCTGATTACCATACATGCAAATACAGATTTTTGTTTTGCAATTTTAATCAGGCCAAAGAGGAATCCTCTGCTCTGGAGCTGTGCATGTTTTTCTTCTTTTTTTTTTAGAGGAGCAGAGGATTTTGGGTCAGCAGGACTTAACATGTTTTGTTTAAACGTTGTTATCATCATTGGAAACGAAGTGTGAACTCATTAAGTGAGATGTTCAAGTCTTTGTTTCAGTATAGACTGCTCCATTTTGGGTGATACTGAATAACAAGTGTGACACTTTGGTGCAGAGAGTTATCTGCAGCTCAGTAGTTTCCTGTGTGGAATATATTAGTTTTGTCTTTACAGTCTGGCTCTTATTCTTCTGCCTTCACTTCTTTCATTCACAGCTTTCTATAACTGACATCATGTCACTTTTAAAGAGACGCACATAAAGACCGCAGTCTCACCACCACATCTTATACTGTCTGGTTTGACAGAGAAAGTTTACTCCTCCAAATAAAATGTCTGAGGGCTGCAACAAAAGAGGAGAGATGAGGAGGTGTTGCCATAGCAACCTCAGTTGTCCCAGGAAAGCCGAGCTTCCCTGCGGACCTTGGGTGTTGTTGTGACGTGCTGCGTCTGTAGATTGGTGCAGGTGTCAATAGGGGGGGCCTGGATGCAAGCTGGAGTGCTAATTACACAGCCAGAGTGTGATATTCCACCCTCTCCCTGTCAGTCCCATCTCTTCTTACAGAAATATGGCCACTCTCATTTCAGATACTACCACAGCCATCAATACACAATCTTGTTTCTTTTTGTGTGCAATACAATTCCAGTGTCACGCAATCCTCAAACCGGCCCTTTTAACTGAGAGCACAGTGACACAGAGCAGGGACCTGCCTTTGTTTGGCAACTGGGCTCAGGCAGGGCGGTATCGATTCATACGTTATCCTGCTCTTCGCTGCAGCATGAATCAGAGCCACACTCAGATTTATGAACCACCTCGTCTACCTGACTCAGCTCCATGACACAGAAGCTTGATTTTCTTCTCTCAGTCTCAAATGTGTCAATTACTTTGATGTTTTATTGATGAATGTTTTATAACAATTCTTCTTCGCTCAGATTTGCGGAATCAGCCAATTCTCTTTGTAACAATGTTTCTCTGTTGGCAACAGAAACCAAAAGTTTAACCAAACTGCCCCATATAAATCTGCTGCCTTATACAAATCTAGTTTACCATCTGGGTGTGGCCTGTAAATGTCAAATCAATTAAATCTATCTTAAAGGGATCATTTGGAAAAAGGTAGTTGACCCTTTGAAATTAAGTTTCTGCTGCTTGAACCTAATGTCAAGGTTGTTACATCTCTTAATTATCACAGTTAAAAGACTAAATATGAGACATTCTCTGTTTAATTCTGAACCAAATGTGATATGCTGTATTAGATTTTTTTTTCAAATGTTTTGATAAGCGAAGAAACACTTTGTACTTGAAAACCTTTCAGATACTATAAATCTTCATCAGCTTGAAATAATAGATCGTAGGTGTATTGTAATAACAAAGACCCACTGTGTTTGTTGATGTCAATATGTTGAGCTGGACCACACACGACCCTGTTGTGTCGCGCTTCTTAACCCACCCTGGCTGGTGTGTGTGCGCTTATGTGCACACGTGTGTTTGTTGGACTGGGGGTGTTCCAGCTGACCCTGCACAGATTGTGACCTCAAATGCTGTTGTTGCTCTGACTGTTAACTCAGTGCTTCATCACTGGAGTCATGGAGCTGCTTTTCTGCTCATTCACTCAGGAGAGACGCAGCACGCCGCCTTTAATTTAAAAAAAACTCTCTTTCGGTTCATTTCACAGCTTTTGTAGGTTTCAGTGGAACCTTGTGTGTGTTGAGGCTCTACCTTTTTTTTCAAGCACATATTGATTTATCGTCTTAGAAGAATGATAGAATTCTTACGATTGCTTATGAATGATGGCAGCAAAGCAGGAATAATAATTTTTTCATTAATATCTGTGGTGTTGTCTTAGCTCTTTTCAAATCTTTGTGTACTTTTTATATGACACCAAAAAACGATTTGACTTTTACACTGTTGACATACATACCATTTACCTATACTTCTTTTCCTCGAAAGAGTATTTCTGTTAGGAATGATGGGACTGTTCTTTTGGTTCAAAGTGCTTATATTATGCCTGTTATTGTTATTTATGTAATCCACCGTCCAGAGCCGCTCTATTTAACAGATTTGTGCAGAGTGAGGAGGGGATCAGTGCAGAGTGGAGGGAGGGGCTAGAGAAAAGCCGAATGCTGAGCTGCACCAAAACAAACCAAATGCTGTTTGCTCATAGGCATCAGCAGGAGCAGCCCGCCATCCTCTGATGCACTGTGATCTTTATCTGTCGCTAGGCAACAGCTTTGAGGGACCTGACGTTTCCATTGCGTCTGCTAGACCTTGTGTGTATTGTATGAGCGCACTTGTGTTTGTGGCAGGGCGAGGTGCAAACATGACTCTCAGTCAAAACAGATATAGCTCAGTCTTCCACGAGGCTCTGCGGGTGTATTTTCAGAGGGTTTCTGCTCGTTATTCGGCTCAAGTTGCGCTGGGTCGGCTCAAGTTCACAGGACGTGTCCGTCCTCTGAACTGCCCATTACACAAGGGTGAACTCATTCACACAAGCAAAAAATAATTCAGACTGGCATTTACTGTGATAAATGAGTTTTACTGAAGCGTCTTGTGCCAAAACCTCATCTTGATATGACAATGCTATTCATGGGTAGTGTAAATCAGGTCGAGTTTCCTGTTGTGTGGTTTTACATAATTGTCTCTTGTTGGAGCATCATTATTCCTACATGCTGTCTCCAAACAGATGAGATCTATATTAACTGCAGACTCACAGCATCTCTTACAATATTTTTCAGCACTCTGTGTCTGGTTTCCTTTCCTGCTGCTGCTTTTGCCTATTGACTTCATCTTTGCCATATCCTCATCTGTTAAACCAGTGAGCTCCAACGGGAAGAGGAGGTTGAGCATTCATTCTAAAACCCACCTCTCCCCAAACATCTTTATTTTACCGAGCTCATGATGACCTGGAAGCAGCGTCAAACAGGCTTATCATCTTTGCCGTAGAGAAATGAAACACAAAAACTGGTGTGTTTTGGAGTGTTGGAGTGTCTGATTTGTCTGAGGAGGAGGGTCCGCCCAGTGTGCCAAATACATGTGGAAGCTCACAGTCCCTGGCCTACTTTCATATCTCCACAATAATTAAATCTAACAAGCACTCGAGGGCTGCAGTGAAGAAAGTCTTTTTATAGCAGACCAGGCACATAGTGCTGACAGGATTTCTTCTCAAGTGTGTGCAAAGGTGTGGATCTAGGTGTTGGTGGTATTTATGTTTGTATCTCATTCCACCATCAAGCTTACTGTTGGCTCTTCATCATCTTGAAGAGATAAGGTTTTATTATTAAAGAGGTTGGGGAGACTAGGAATTGCTATATGTCTTTTCACAGTCAATTTCATTATATCACCATTCGGGTTATCGCAAAATTGTGGATGTTTGTATTGTATTTTCAGTTTCAGAATCATTACAGCCCTGAAGAACAGGGTGACTGCAGGTCCTTAAAGTGTCTTAAATTCAAATTTACAGATAAAGGGCCTTAAAAAGTCTTGACTTGGTAACATTTAGATTGGGTGGATCTTGTTGTTAGGCACATATCTGCTAAGTCACTGCAATAAATGTATCCACTCTGCCAGACCGTAGAATTATTAATTCCTTTATTTTGCTGCTTTTGGTTAAGTATGTGTGCCTTTCTGGCCAGCTTGCTAGATTGTTCATGAAAATGGGGAAACCCAAGTTTAACGTAGCCATAGGTGGCTTGAAAATTATGAGAATTTGTGTAGATTAAAGCCAGTGCAGGGAGGCGGTGGTGAATAAAACTTTCCTGTGTCAAAAGTCTGTCAAACTTTGGACCATGGGGATCAAGTTGGTGGAGTCTAACAGACATAAATGTGTCAACTTAGAACAAGTACATTTAAACTTTCTATTTGTATTCCATTATAAGTTTGGTCTCGAATTCAATTTCAAATGGTATTAAAAATAAGTCTTAAACGTGAAGGTGCAAGAAAGATTTTAATAATTTTGTCAGAAGAGTTTTTATCCCTCTCTTTTATAGAGGGCCTTAGAATATACTGCTCAAATTTAAGATGATTCATTGCAAAAATAGTGAGGCCTATATGATAGAACTGTTGCTGATATATCAGTCGCTGGAAGAACTTGGTGTAGTTTTATTTACCCTCACTCTCGTAGAATTGAAAATGTGTATTTATCAGGTGTGGGCAGACACAAACAACTCGATGAATCACAGTTGGCAAAAAGCTAATGAATGATTCCTTATTAAACAAAAGCCAGATGACTAAGTCTTATTGTGCAACTGGCAGGATCCATTGGTGACTAAACCTGGATGAGGCTGTTATTAGGTTCACTCCTTGATAACTTGGTAAAAGTGAAAGAAACACAAAAGGGATGGAAAATGTATCAGATCCTGTGCACCGTCTATCATTTCAGTCTCTTTTCTCTGTGCCCAGCAATTCTCAGCTCAGTGAGGTTAATATCAGCTAAAATCTAGTATTGTTTACTCACGGATAATCTTGTGCGTCACAGGCAGAGCTGCAGCAGCAGAGGGGCTTAAACAGTACTGAGCTCTCACATCTAGGTGTTATCATGGCAGAGCAGCGTCTGTTAGCGGGCCGCCCGCTGTGTATCTACCGTCAGGGCTGTGATGGCAGGCGATGGCTTCTCCACGCAGCAGGTGAACATGGCGATGGATGAAATTACCTGCATACACCAAACAGATCTTCACGGCAGTGTCGTCCCTCTCGGCTTTACTGTCACAGCTGACAGGATCTACAGGATTTACTGACGTGATCCAGGAATCTGCAGAAAGCTTGACTTGCTTCACACTTGGTACTAAAGTTAGTTTTGGGAGATTCATCCACAAGTGGAAAGTTGAAGACTTATGTTGATGCAGGGATTTGAAGTGATTTGAAAAGTAGTGAAATATGTTGTTATCACAGAAAAAAAACTATAACCAGAGAAATAAAAAGTCTGATTGGAGTTGACTTAATTTTTGACATATTAGTGCCTGATGCTGGGTTCGAACTATAGACATATCTAAATATATCTTGATGTTTAATGTCGTCTGCGTGTGTCTGTGTTAGTGTATGTGATCAGTACTCTTACATTTATACATTGATTTGTGTGTGGACAAAACTGCAGGTCACACCTCGTACTGACGTTAACCAAACAGATGAGGGGTTAGTCAGAAAAGCAAATAGTGCTTCTTGGAAATCACAAATGTGAATTCACCTGATCAAGCTGCATCATTACTGGTTGTTTTTCCATGTCATGTAAGAAGACACATCTCTCGATGTTTGGTAATATGTTGAATCAGTTTGGTTTTTATTAGAAGTTGATAGCTTTTCTCTTAAAAAGACCTCAAACTGTAAAGTGACACTAAATGCTGTAAATTTGATTCACCTCATTTCTGAATCATGTTTCTCTGTTTTTTTCTACTGTTCCAGAAGAGCATGTGATCTGAATGTCAGTGTCTGTATTTATTTGTATTTTTATTGCTTCAGTGGGCTTATCTGACTCTCTGCTGTTGATTGCCAGGTGCTGAGGATGTGGTAATGGCGTTCTCGCGGTCAGAGACGGAAGATCGGCGACAGTGACCCTGGGCCTCATCCTGCCCCGCTGCATCCCGTCCCAGACCCGTCCCGCCCCGCACACGACCCACAACAACCCAAACTCTGCAAGCAAGACGCTGATGAGCTCAGGGGAGGAGGGGCACAGGGGGAAGGGACAGAAGAAGAGGGGAAGAGAGGCCGGGAGGTGGCGGCTGCCTTGCTTCCCCCCCACTTCTTTTCCATCCCGTATCCTCCTCACACAGGCTGGCACAGCGTTACCTGAGATGCACTCAAGTGGGTCCCTGTGGGCTGAAGCCTTGAGAGTCAGTGAAAACACTCACAGATTGTGTGGATGAATATCAGTTGTAGTTTAGTTTTTTTCTTGTGATGGGGGGGTTGTTTTGTTTTGTATTATCTTGTTTATGTTGAGATGTTGGGCAGTGTTACGTGTTTTTCCTGCTCTGGTCACCGGAGGAACTGACCAGTCAGCAGCAGATTGGAGCAAAGAGAAATATAGTTGTGGTCAAGTAGAGCAGCGGGTGTGAGGAGTGGTCATGTTAGGGGAGAGATTTTAATTATTTCTGCTTACCCCAAAGGGGCCGGAATTGTTTTTGATTTTAGCTGTTGTGTTATAAAGGCTTTTGTATTTTGTCACACCTGAGGCCTCATTTATAAACATGTGCTCATTAAAAAGAGTGAGGATGCATTCGCTATTTAGCACGCAGAGGTTTAGAGATACAGGTGTCCGCTCCTCTGCTGGAACCTGCATGCAGAAGGCCTGAATTAAGAAACATTTAATATGTATTTTATAACTCACTAAAATGTTTTTGTAAGCAGATATTAGATTTGTTAGTGGATTTGTCACAATTCTAACTCCTCATTAGCGGAGGCTGCTTTATAAACAGATAATGAATGAGAATATAGTAAAACACAGTTGAAATAATATAAAATATGTCCTCATAGGAGAAGTTATGATTGTGACCAAAACTCTGGATAATAATCAAAATAATCTTTTTATCTGCTTACACAGACATTATGGTGTTTTCTCTAAATAATTGAGTAAATGTTTCAATTCATACCCATAAATCTGTGACTGGGAAAGTAAAGTGTTACCATAAAATCTAATGCATCAATAACTCTTCTCAGACAATTGTTTTCACGTAATGTTAAATTACAGCCTGTTTTTCAAGTGTGAAGCGACGGGTAATCACTTTATTTCACAATCAGTGAGTGGAGCTGCGGTGAAATCATTTTTACTTTACCAACTGATATTTTCAATTCCTAATCATTTGGTTTTCTGGTCCCACAGTGCTTATATCAAAAACAAGCAGCATTTTAGACTCTTGATATATGTGTGGAGCGTACGCAGGTTCATAAATGAGGCCCCGCTCGTTCTTCTGCTGCTTATATTTTTGAACCAGAGGCTCTCGAGGGTGCAGCAACACTTTTCTCTAAAGGAGAGCGTCAAGATTTAAAGACACTAGCAGACATAATCATGCGAAACACATGTACACATTCTCCCCAAACAAACACTGGTTTTGTTTCGGGTTATTGTGACATGTTAAACCTTTTTTTTTTATTGTACAGATAGTTGGGAAAATACAATAATGATTTGATTGTGCCAATTGTATTTTTGTTGTTTTTTATCTGCAAGATAAAAATTAACATATTGATTAAGAAAACTGATAAAGAGACAGTGTCGTAGTTGTAATTTATTGTTTGCTGAATTGATTCCCTGTTTCACGGACGCGTCATTAAAGATGGAGAACCAGTAGATAGTTAAAGCCTAACACAAGTCGCTCTTTGAATATCATCAGCAGTGGTTCTTTGTTCACACTAAAATCATACAAACTCTAATTTTTAAACTACCTGTAACTAAACACGTGATGCCAAACATAAGAACTGTGTGCTATCTCTGACTGTACTGTATCTCTTGCACTATTATCAATGAGATATTTGCAAAAAATACATTTTGATATTTAGCACAGAGATTCTATGTTTGGTTCAACAGATAAAAGAAAAGTTTGTAAACCATGTTTTTATTCATTTGGTGATTATAAAAAAATCTCAACTGGAAAATAACTCAAATGAATATTTGTTAACAGCCAACATGTTTTTCTAGTGACATGCTAAATATTTAATGTGTTTAAGTACAGTTTGTTAACTTGTATAACTTAAAATAATCGTAACGTTTTAAAGCCAAGCATGTCTGCCTCCTGGTTTCTAATGTTCATTCAAGCAGAGCCAAGGATCTTTGAAGCCTGGTGCCGATGACCATTGTTTGTACATTCTTGGCGTTTGTGGAAGCAACTAGCTCTTTTAAAAAAATGTTTCAGAAAAAAATGATAATTTTTTTTGTAAATGTTATCCGTTACATCGTGTCAGCAATAACTTCTATTTGAATGTCCTCAACAATCATCGCAATGTAAACGGCCAACAGATCCGTCACGCTGTCCGCCTATGACAAAGAAATTTGTCCTTTGATGTTTACTTTTATTTTGAAGCATTCTTTATTTGTCTATGCATTGATTGTTTTTCTCTAAAATGTGTCTTACTGTACATTTTACCTATCAGGGTTGTTCTGCAGCCTTCATTCAAGCGTGTGTGTGTGTGTGTGTGTGTGTGTGTGTGTGTGTGTGTGTGTGCGTGCGTGCGTGTGCGTGCATGTGTGTGTGTGTGTGTGTGTGAGATTGACATTGAACCTGCTACCAGTTTTGATTTTCAGCATGCTGTTGTCGATGTATCTTTTTACTGTGATGACCTGATGTTGCCTAATTGTCCTTTTTTATTTTTTTTTCTTGCCTTTGTATTTTATTTTTCGCTCAGTCGACTTCGATTAGTTGTTCTTTTTTGTATGGCTGCTGACCATGTCTTGACTTAATGCTTCCAAATCCTATACCAACTGAACCATTAAAGAAATTTTAAACAGTGAAAAGTCACGTTTTCTTTTCACCATAACAACATTGAGCGTTTTCCAACATGAAAGAGAGAAACTTTATTTTGAAGCAGCTGCTTGTCCTCAGATGATGCCTCATGCTGAGCATCCAGGGACAAGAGTTTTCTGCAAAGTCATACTAAGGGTGAAATCATGGTTATTTGATCTTCTTACCGACAGCACATATAGAAGAAAAATGAGTCATTTCTTGAGACTGATCAGTTAAAAATGTCACGTTCGATGAAATCTAAATTTTAAGATGTGTCTGAAAAACTGTGCTGCTACAATATAATTCGGTAATTCTGAATTTGAGCTTGACAGTTCAGTCTTGACCTTGAACATTGCAAAAAAGAAATCTTGCTTGATTTATTCTTCAACTTTTGAGCATTTAAGTTTTGTGACCTCTAGAGAAATTTTCCAAACATCAAGAGCCACTTACCTGTTTTTTGTGCAGCTCTCAGATGTGTCCCAAGGTCTTCATCAAAAGGTGAGATATGTTCACTAGAACCAAACCAAAAGATTGATCGATATGTCAACAATTTAGATCAGATTTAAAAATAAAGAATACGTTACACACTTTTGTTCTTAAACTTTTATCCGTTTTTATACAGTTTGTTTTTCCATAAATTCAGGTAAAAGGAGACTCATCATACCTTTCTTCTCTTCTCTATAATTCATTTATTTATATACATGTGTGCAGCATGTGTTGATGGTTTAACTGAATGTAAATTTGGAAAACAAATATAAACTATACTGTATATGTGACTGAAACACTGGCACAAATAGGAATATGTTTTTATCATATAATTCTCATTCTCGTGGCCTTAAATGTTAAAAACAGTAAGGAACCGGAATAAAGATTATGTCGTATAACAAGTACAATTTTCTCATTTATTAAAATTATAGTCCAAAACAATTCACCTACTGTAAGAAATAAAGGAGATAAAGTTGCTCTGTTGTTACAAAGTCTGAGTTTTTCTCCACAAAAGTCTTCAGCATTATAAGAGGTTTGGATTTTTAAAGATGAAGTGACCAGTAAGGTCATTGCAGAGGAAGACTGCTCCAGAACAAGAGAATAAGAGGACCTTGTGGGGAAGGGACTGTTTTGCCCTTTCCTCCTGCAAACTCTCATCATAACAACACAAGCTTGTTTACCGGTCGGGGCCTCGTTCCTTTCCCTGTCAGGTGTTTAATTGAGGCAGATGTTTAAATCTACTCACCAGAAAAAGAGGAGGGGAAAAAGTGGGGCTTGGTGTTTTTCCTGCACTAATGATGAACATCTGCTCACTGTTCCCTCGCCTTCGTTCACAGATGCAGAAGAATCTTGCGATTTAGCGGCAGCGAGCTCTGGGAGTGATGCACCAGCTGTCGGCCAATTCACAGTGATCATGTGTTCATCACTGTGGACTGTGGTGTCCTTCACTGACAGTCAAACTTATGGGACAACACTGGGACAACTCACACTTGTTCTGGGTGCAGCTGAGGATTCAAACCACCACTCTAACCAGGACTTATATCTGATCCTCATATTAATACATATGGAAGAATCATTTGCATGGACTTTTTAAGAGTTTAGCAGTGTCCATTGTAATTATTATCTCAAAGTCCTGCTTTTCTGAAATCCAAGGTTTTAAACATGTTAACATGTCTCCTTGTACCTTTGTATGATATGAAACGCATTTTAGGTGATATAAACACATTAGGGGCCCAGTCACACAGAGACAAATGTATATCGCAAACCCTCACCTCCTGGTTTAATTCCAATCAGCATGAGTGAGGGGGATAATAAAATGAGCCCTAAAGACCTGGTCACACACAGCAAATATCATGAGGCAAAGGTCACCAAATACCACGCAAAGCCACCCTGCGATTTTCCTCGCCACAGGAAGCAAATGCTTTATTCGGCTCCTCTCGCTCAAAGGTTGGAAGTGAGCAGGAGGCCACTGATGCATTTGTGTATTTGTGACAGGGCTTTAACGCTGCTGCAAACGAATGGCAGTTCAAAAAAAAGCTGATTTAGACAGCCAGGGTTTAGTGACGTCACAAACCTGAGAAACCAATCCTGTCAACTTGTGGGTGGAGCTCAGAAGCTGGAAAAGACTCCTTAACTAATAGTGAGCCATGAGGGTGCGGGGATGGGGGGCAGGGGCGGGGTCATATGAGCATATTGATAGATCCCTGCAGTCATGAAATCAGAAAGGAAGGTGTGTTCATGACAAACCTTTATTTAAAGTGTGTTTAGGCAAAGACTTAGACACAAGCTGTCAGAGAACCAGAGGAACCATGGTGTGTCTGGCCTGTGTCTGCTGCTGCTGCTGGTTGAAATGCAGACTAAGTGCATCGTGTGAGAGCAGCACGTCCCTCATCCTTTCTACAACACAAGCTCCCTCCCTCTCTGTACACGTGAGCGCCGGCGTCGTGTTTATCTGATGCCAGACAGTTCACAGCAGACGCAGAGCTCGTCAGCACAGAGCAGCAGCAGCAGTCGGCTGATGACCGCCACCAGCGCTATCACATCACGTTATGCAACAGCAGACTGCTCAGTCCACACGCTGAGGACAAAAGAGCAAGAGGGTGAAACTGTGTGATCACTTTTAATGGCTGAGAAAATGTATGTAAACACCTCAACCCTAACCCTTCTCCTCCATCCATTTGTCTGCTCAGTTTTTAAATAAGAATGATAATAAAAATATATTTTTTATTCAATTCAATATTATTTGTATATAGCACCAAATCATAATATACATAATCTCAAGAAATTTTACATGTTAAGGTCAAGTCTTTAAAATTATAGAGAAACTGTTCCTACAATGAGCAGCACTTTGGCAACTGTGTAGAAACCTCCAGCAGAACCAGACTCAGTGTGGGCGGCCATCTGCTGCCTCGACCGGTTGGGGTGAGTGGAAAAAATGGGGAAGAGAGGTGAGGTGGGTGGTAAACAGGGGAGAGAAGAAGGAGTCGGAGAAGACGGGGAGAGAGACCCAGAACAGTTGTTAAACCACCATAATTAAACTCTGTCAGACTGGTTATGATAATGAAAATGGTAAGAATGATATTTATAGATGTAATTGATGTTATTGATGATAGCAGTCACAGTTCAATTAATGATAATAATAATAATCTGGATCCTGCAGCTCTGGAGTCAGATTCTTAAAATAATGTAAAAATTCTATAATACATTCAAACTAAAAGTACAGAATGAAAACACTAAATATGTGGCTGAATTTTTTTGCACGACCCATTACAGTGATAAAAAGTAGAATTAGGTAAAATTAGGGAATGTGGTCAAATAAAAGTAGGTTTTAAGATTTTATTTAAGCCCCATATTTCTTGGTTAGGGTGTTCCAGAGCCTCTGGGCTTCCAAAAGCTTTGCCCCCTTAAATCTTCAGCCGGGAATCTGGAACAGTTCAAATGCCCCTGCCAGAGGAAAACATAAACTAAAAGATGAATTATTCCTTCATCAGAATTTTATCCGTCGATCACCCTCCAAATCTGGAGTGTACAAGTCTATTTTCACCCTCATGTTTACAGACAATGAAAACATACACTATATGTGATGTTGATGGTTGAACTGGTTGTCTTTCTGGGGCAGCTAATACCTCAGCCGGCCTATTTCTGAAAATCTTGCAAGAGTTTATAAGCATCATAACTGGAAGGGAGCCCTTATTTCAGACAGAAGCTCTGATGCCACATGGCTCCACTGACCCGACACTGCAATAACTACAAAAACTTGAGAGGGAGGATATAAATTTACAGCCCAAGTGGATGTGATCAGCCCCCGACTTTCATCTTCAAAGCGAAAAAGAAAGAGCTGAAGGCGAGAGCGTGGGAGCTCCAGGAGTGAGAGAGGTGTCTCACCCTCCCTCCCACAATATAACTCAGCATTATTATTGAGCAAAGACGGGGGGGGGGGAGGTTCCAGGGGGAGAGGCTTGCAGGCATGAGAGGGCACACACAGTGGAGGAACGCAGCAGAGCACCGTCACTCAACACAAAGCTCTGCAGATACACTCTGGGCCACGTTAAACCTCATTACTAATAGATGAGATTTGCTCTCAGCTCCTTTAACCAGCAGCGACTAAAGCTCTTCACGAAAGGAGCACGCCTCCTCTTGTGCATCACACGCTCTGCTTTTTATTTAGTAACCCGCTCTGATCTGAAATCCAACTGAAACCGCTTTGATCAGCCATTTGCTCCTGCACAGTTTGACACGTACAGACATTTATATTCTAATGAAGAGAACACAGAAGTCTACTGACTGTGAAACACCACCTCATAGAAGCATGTTCATTAGAAATATAGCTCAAATAAATCATGGTCAGAGCTTGGCTGTTGTCATAACATGACAAATATACAAAAATAACTGTGTTTCAAGTGTAGTCAGGCCCAACAGCTCCCTAATGAAAACACTGATTCATTAATCAGATCTGTATATTTATTTAGATCTGCCCCAAATATCAAACACATAAATATCAGTCCCCTAAATATGCCAGATTTAATTTCATTAAGATTCATGAATTATTCTGTGAGAAATCAATGAAAATGTTGAAAACAATGTTGTCCTCAACAAAATTTCATGTGGTCATCTCTAAACCAGTCGGCATTCCCCCACCAAGTTTCGTGGCAATCCATTCCATAGTTTGTCTTAATCCTGCTAACTATAAACAAAGAAGCTGAATCATAAACCTCCTTGGTGGAGGTAAATATGATTTTTGTAGCCACGCTAGTCATACAGCTGTGGGGATAGACAGACTATCCATCTTCCTTGTTATTTGGTCCAAAGTGAAATACTTCAACAACTATTAAATACAGTTGGTATGAAAGTTGACTCTGTACCTGACTTGTCCTTTAGCACCTGCCTGATACTGTCATCTGAAATGTGTGTGAAACTGTGTGTGAAACTGTGTGTGAAACTATCGGACAGCTCACATCTGTGAGCGTGAACAATGATTGGCTGCAGAGTATGAGGTTGAACCTGTTGGCTCTGGCAGGTCGGAGGA